GTCCTTTATAATTGAAACATTAATTGAATTGTCAAGTATGTGATAAGATTTAAAAATTATAAATTTTTTATACAGCTGCGCGTATAAAAAAATATACTTTTATTATACAGAGAAGAAAAAATAATTACTTTTTTTTATTGTCCTAAACGTAGGTATAAATATAAAACAATCGAGTTAAATTTATACCATAGACATGAATAAAAGCTTTATGTGCTTTTTGAGAATTATGAATCATAAATTGTAGATTAAGGACCTTTGAAAATGATTACGCTTAAATCTGAGATTAACCTCTTGCTATATATCCAATTTTTCAAAATAACTTAATCGATTTCAAATTAAAATCAAATTTAAAATTTTAGTATTTTAAAAAATTTCATATGGTAAAAATTTTTGTTTTGTGACACTTTTCGTTAAAAATTATTTTAATAATTAATTTATTTATATAAAAAAAATTTGTTGAAATTAAATTTATTTATAACAAAAAAAACCTTCTGAAAATTTATCCTTCTTTTTTAAAAAAAAAAAGAATTTAATTTGTTTTCTATTTGTTGAGAACATAATTTATTCCCAATGGAGTCAATTTCGTCTAAATATTAAAATATAAAGTTATAGTTGAAATATATATATATATAAATAGAATATAGGGAAAAACGATACGGGAACGTTTAAAATTAATTAATGACACAATAATGAGAAATTTTCCATGACAAACTGAATTTCCTGCGTGACACCTGTCACCAACTTTTGCTGATATTTTAGACACGTGTGCGATATATATTTCTGAATATAGAATAGTTGCAAAAAAAAGAGGAAAAAAATTTTTTTTTTAACTTATTTATGAAAAAAAAATTATATTTCACTATTAAATAATAAACAGAAAGAATTTTTAAAAGAATATCGTTTTTTGTGGAAAAATATCGAAAGTTTTTCTTTTTTTATTAAAATCTCTCATTTTATTAAAACAGAAGATAAAAGAAATAATATCAATTTTTTTTTTGCAAATAATTACAGAAAAAAATCATAACTATGTAACATTTGTTGCATTCGATTGTTTTTCTGTCTCTTTTATTTCTCATTTATATTTTCCTTAAGAAATATTTTTCCCTGTTTTTTTTTTTTCCTTTTATAAAAGTTACGACATATTTAAAGATCTCATGCTTCGTAACTTATAAAGAAATAATAAAATTTATTTTTCAAATAAAAAAAAAAAAAAAAAAAAAAACAAAATTACAAAATATGATGATGGACGAATGAAAGTAATTTTTATCAGAATAAAAATAAAACATTCATTATATCAAAGTAGCTACACTCCTTGTCAGACAACTTCCATTTTTATAAAACGACTCATTTTTCATTTTTATTGACGTGGAAATAGAGAAATAAGAAATGGAAATACTCTCGCAAATTAAATCATAAAAAAAATATTAAATTTACGCACTTTTTTCAAATTTCCCTTCTTTTGTTTATAAATGCGCAATAATTTTTTTTTGTAATTGTGTATTTCTTTGTCTGTTTTTTTTCTATATATTTTATTTTACTGACAGTAAAGTTTTAATAAATAACTTTTTCAAATTAATTACGTAATTTTTTTTTTTTCTCTATGAAGATGTAATTTATAATAATGAAAAAATTTGAAAATTATTTTGGATGCAATAAAAATAAGTATTAAAAAAAAAAAAAAAACGCGTGTATATAAATCGTTTGCACCATTCTGGGGAATGTTAAATTATATCATCGTCGCGCACCGTGGGGAACTTAGCAGTGGTACAACTTTCTAAAGATATATATATATATATATATATATATACGTTTTGTGTTGAGTAACGGAAACATTTGATAGAAAATTCAGGCCAACGAGGTTGCACCCTCAAGTCGACCAATCTCTTGTCAGAGACGCGCTTATTGTCATCTGCACAAAGGATTTCGTTGCATTTTCTTGTCACAAAAGTTCATTGTCATTATATATATATATATATATATATACATAATAAACACAAACCGACGATAAGCTTTAATTTACTGTAAAAACTTTATTCAAAAAAAAAAAAGGAAAAAAAAATATCTTCACAAAACACATTTTTTTGTTCTCTTAAAAAAATGTAAAACAATAACTTTCAAGACCTAAATGGAAAATCATAATTGTTCATTTTTTTTTGTAAAATTTATAAAATTTTTCAATTTTTACTTACCAATACAAATATTTTTAAATAATAATTAATTTTTAATTATATACACCGAAAAAAATATGTTCTTAATTTTAGTAGATTCCTCTTCTTTTGACGCATTTTTTCCTCTTATATATGGGCACTAAAGTATTCATATGAGTGGATTTTCCTCTTCTATATTTTGAGAGGAATAATCTCAAATAAAGAGATATTCATCCTAAGTTAAGTTCAGAAATGTCAATCTTCTTTATTCAATTAGAAGAAATTATATGGGTTAGTTAATTCTTTAGAACTTGCATTTATTTATTTATAGGAAAGAAATCATTTTAGAGAACGAAACATGGCAAAAACACGATTTTCTATTTAATAAAAATATACTAAAATTTTTTAGTTTATGAAAAATACTTTTAACTTTGGTTAATTTTAAAATAAAATGAATATAGTATGCAAGTGAAAAAGTTTATGAATTATTTACATAATAATTTTTATTTACATCCTTCGAAAAAATCGAAAAAGTAATTTATAAACATTCCTACAAATAAAAATATGAAAGAGAAAAATTCATTCTTATTTTTATTTATATAAAAATGAGAATATTTTTTAAATAATATTTATAGATTATGATGGTGAAAAAATTTAATTCTAACTGGAATATGACAAAATTCTAATTCATAGAAAGAATAGGGGTTAAACACATTGACATTAATTTATTACGAAACTGTAGTACGCAATGTTTATGATAAACGATTTTTGAAGAAAAAAATTTTTTAAAATGAAAAATTCTGTAATTTTTTGCCTAAAACAGATTTCTTTGTAGTTTTCATTAATCAGCAAATTATAAAAAAAAATATTTTTTAGGCAAAAAATTATAGAATTTTTATTTAAAAAAATTATTTCTTAAAAAATTGTTTATCAAAAACGTTGCGTACTTCAGCTTCGTAATTTATTATAATAACATTTTATTGATTATAAGTAATTAATATTATTTTCAAAATTACAGATGTAATTTGTTAGTCACACTTTACATAGAAGGTTTCTTAGTGGGATGTCCATTATTTATTTTTTAACTGTCAGTTTTCGAACAGTTTGAAGGTGTGCGTAAAAAAACCAAAAAAAACTATATTTCTAGAGGAATAATCTCAATTATAGAAAAAAAAATCTCAATTGAAAAAGAATACTTTCAATCGAAAAAAAAGATTAAAAATGTTCTTAAATAAAAAAAAAAGTCCTCTATTTTTTAGATAAATATTCATATATTGAAAATAAAATGTAAAAGTAAATGTTGAGAGGGAATTTTCTTCTCATTTTAAGATTTTATTTTTTTCAGTGATATATATAAAAAATAGTAATTTTAGTTTTATGGAAAAAATTGTGTAAGAATTAAAAAAGGAATAGAATATTTTATAGATTTATTTGGCTGTTGTAAATTGACAAACGTAGGCGTTTCTGAGTGATAAGATATTGTTCTAATTAAGGTTTATTGCGATAAAACTCCTATTATTTCATTGAATATGAATGCGAAGGCGAAATCTATAAATTATAAATTGAATAAAAAAAAACAGTAAAGCAATAAATAAAAATAAAGATAATTATTGATAGAAATAATGAATTTTTGATGTGTTTTTTTAAATTTAATAATGAATTAATTAACTATCAATTTAAATTTGTTAATTTAATATTAAATTAATTTAATAGTAAATGTTAAATTTCATATTAAATGCAGTGAATAGAAATGAAAGAAAAATTATATCTTTCTTTTTGAATAAAAAAAAAAATCTAAAATTAAATAAAAATTCAATTTTTTTGATGAGCGTCATAAATCTTGAATCGATAATTTAAGGATTTTTAACTAATAAGAATATTTTCAATAAAATATTATTACAAAAAAACGCTATTCAGAATCACTCAAGTCTTTAGATTCTTCTCTATGGATAAAGTAATAAAGTATATATATAGAGAGAGAGAGAGAGTGAAGGGAGCGCTCTTTCAAAAATGCGCTCACATTCATGAAACCTCATAGTAAAGCTGAACTTGCAATTTTAAAATACTTAAATCCGTAAAGTCACTTTACAACATTCAATTGCCTGACTTCTATTAAATGTGAATTTAAATTTAATTGAAATCTGATATTTGCCGTACATCACAGAAACGGTATTTTCTCTTTAAAATTTAAATATTACTTATTTAAACTGTATTCCAAGTACTTGTATTTCATTGTCTTGGAGATATAATTAAAAATTTCAATATACACAACAATTTTGCTTTTACATATTTGAATTGAATAATTATTAATTAAATTAATTTTCGTTTATAATTTCAAATTTTTCTTTCATTTATTTTAATTTTTATACATATATAAACCCTGATTTTACAGTTAATTAATAGTCAAGTTTAATTATATTTAAATTAAATTGAAACATTTAATTTTCATTAAATGTTATATATTATATTAAATTCACTAATTGTCATGAAATTAAATGGCTTAGTTGGATTTACAATTTAATTAGCTATTTAATTATTAGATTTAAATTTAATGTCATTAAAATTATTTTATAATAATTGTGTCACGAGGTAGAAAAAAGATTTTTCCCCTCAAATTATAGTTAACAAAAATTATAAATATATATATATATATAGTTTTATAGAAATATATAAATCTTGCGGGTGCATTAATTTTCATTGACAAAATTTATAATTTATAATAATAAAAAATTGTAGTAAAAATTTATAATAATTAAAATTTATAAATAGTAAAAATTTCTGAAATAATAACTATATATAAAAAAACCGCAATTGTTTTACTCAAAAAAAATGCTTTTAATTAATTAAAAATACCTTTCATTTAATCATCAAAATTGTAATGTAATCCATATTCGTCACTTTCACCACATAAAATTTTTTTATTTTGCAGAACTTTGTATTTTTTGAAAAAAGATAATTATTTCAGTGAAACTTTCTAAAAAAAAGAATTTTTTTTTTTTTTTTCTTAACTCACCGAATGATATATGTGAATTATTTATATAGGAGATGAAATCCAGATGTATGTATGTGTTTGTTTGTCATGAAGAACAAGTGCTTGATATCACAATGAATTTATTTTTTCGTTTTTAAATAAATGAAGGGAGATTTTTTTTTATTATTATATTTAAGTTCACAAGTTTTTTTTTTTTTATTTAATATTTTATATAGAATGAATGAGAGGGTGTATTTTTTTCACGCACCAGGAAAAACGATCCGAACAGGATCACGCGCCACGAAGACACTGGCAAAATTTTTCGAATGCAACCGCGTCGCGACGCTTTGAACGTAGAGCGCGTACTCGAGACGCAGACCTCTCATAGGCTGTAATATGGAACCACGCAATGTTTTTGCACCACAGAGACGTTTAAATAGACATGTCATTAAAATTAAACATTGTGCACTTCTATAAAAAGGACTTTTCTCTCTCTCTCTCACTCTCTCTTTTCATTCATTCACTGTCATTCATGAATCTCTCGAAAAAAAAAAGATTTCTTTATAAAATCATAAACACGAAGAAATTTTATTTTTTCATTGAAAGAATTTTTTTTTTTTTTTTAATTTAATTAAATTATTTTTATTTATATTTTTTAAATTTAATAAAAAAAAGGGTTTTCTTGATTTTATTATTACTCCTGAGGGAGTAAATTTTACTCCATATAAACTGGTGAAAAAAAAAGAAGTGCGAAATAAAATAAAATTCTATAAACATTACAGACAAATTCTAAGGGAGTGATATTTTTCCCCCATAAATTGAAAAAAGGAGTAAAAAAATTTCAAGGGAATAAATTTTACTCCATTAATAAAAAAGAGTAAAAATTAATTATATCGAGTAAAAAGAGAAGTTTATTTAAAAGTGTAAAAATTTTTAGAGTAAAATAAAAATAATGTACAGCTGCAAATTTTTAGATCTAAAAAAATTTCAACTTAATTGCTCTATATTTTACTTAGATATATGCAAAATATTTATAATTACATATATGACATTTTTTTTTTTTCCCTAAATAATCAAATGATTTCAAAAACTTTTAAAAATATGCAAATTATATTCGTCTGTCCATATACTTTATTACCATGAATTGCTTCCTTATTTTTCCAAGATTATTATTAATATGATGATGCTGAACTAAGATTTTGCAAAAAAGTGACCCCGCTTTATGAAAATTATCACAGATCCAAAGAAGATTACCTTGAAAGTCATATTTTGTTTTTTGATAGAAATATGTTTAAGAAAATATAAATTTTTTTAAATATATTTTTATTTTATATTCAAAAAAAAAAAAAAATCCTAAAATGTCACAATAGATTGGATATTTTTAAATATTTTATTTATGAGTATAAATAAAAAAAGAAATTGATTTCATTATTTTCTTTAACAGGGGAATTTTGTTTGTAAGAAAATAGTATAGAATATTTGCATAATTACATATGCAAATTTTAAATTGACATTGTTTATTAAAATGAAATTAATAAGTAACTAATTCGTAATCAAATGTTCCAAGGCGTGAAGTGAAGTTTTTTTTTCCTCTTTTTTTTTATCTTGTAAGAGACGCAAGAAAATGATAATTTCCACTTTTCTTCACACTGAAAGTTTCTAAATGTCATTTTCTTTTATGTTTTATAAATGAGAATTCTTTGCTTTATATTATTATTATTTTTTTTTTTTTTGCTTAATTTTTCTCTCGATTTTTCATCGGAATATAAATTGCAATTTTTTTTTGTATTTTTAAAAACCTAATAATGATGAATAAATAGGAAATTTGTAATTACAATTAACAAAGGAATATATCGATTAATATTTTCGATCAATAATATATATATAAAAAATTGTTTTTTAATTCTAAAACTAAATTATTTGATTCAAAAAATAATTGTCTGATATCTGCTAAATAAATAAAAAGGAAAAAAATATTAAAAATCAGAAAAAAAAATGTAAATTAATTAATTTCTTAGATAATTTGTTTTTCCATGATTAATTTTTTTCGAAAACTTTTTTTTAATGAATTTTTATCTATTGAGTCTACATAGTAAAGAAAGTTTTGTTAATTAAAATTAGTGATATATACTTCATTCTAAAAGGATATTTACTTCGTGCGAAAACAAACAAGAGAATCCTTTCTACTCAAGAAATTTCTAAACAGACACTTTGAGAGGGAAACTTAACTTATTTTCAATAGAATACTCCTTCCCCCTTTTCTGTCCTTTCCCTTTTATATATATACATATATAAATAACTGAAAATTTTATGTTAACTTGAAAATATGTTCTTTAGAAATTTTCACTCTTTAAAAGAATAAACAAAAAATAAATAAATAAATAAATTTATTGAATAAGCTCAACTAACAATTTTTCAAAAATAAATTACGAGTATGTAAAAAAAAAATTTATAGTAGATACTTTCTTTTCTTTTTTTTTTTTTTTTTGAAGTTCATTGTATTTTATTTTCTATAGACGACGCGCGTATTACTCGACCACAAGAGTAGTAAAACTGTCTTCATTGAGCCATTATCCAATAGAAACAATAAGAGACACAATATTGTGCAGCTTAATAATCTCCATTTCAACACTAACTTTATATGCGTATATTTTATTTACTCTTTGAATAAAATTATAATTAATCCCATTATTGTAAAACAAAAGATTTTGTCTTGATTATTATTTTGAAACTAAAATGGTCTTATGGGCTTCAAAAGCCATATGATATAAGAATAAATATACAAGAAATTTTCATCTAGAAAACTATAATTTTCTAAATGAAAATGAATATATAATCAATTTATTAATTAATTATTTATTAGTATTAAATTAATTGTTTGAAATTAATTAATTTATTATAATTAATATATAATTAAATTTTTTCAAATTACTAATTGCCAAAAATGTCTGTAATAATTACGATTTTATGAGATATAGTAAATAGATTAACTAGATTACAATTACAATTACAATATTTAACGATATATCAAGGAACATGGAATGATAGTAAATTAATTGTCTGAAGGAATCTCAAAACATTTTCAGTGATATTCAAACGGGAACTTAGCAAAGGGATAATTAGGAATTCAGGCATTAAAACAATGTCTGTTTCTGAATCAGATAAGGGTGTAAAGCAGGTGAATACATATAGATATCCTACACGCACTGTAATTTGCAAATTACAATCCGTTAAGTGAAAATTTTTCAATTTCAAAAAAAAAAAAAATAAAAAAAAATATTTCAAAAATTTGCAAATTAGAAATATTATAAAATAAATTATTTTCTTTCATTATTTTTTTTGAATTATTTATTTAAATCAATTTTAAATTAATAATAATTTAATGACAAATTAATTAATTTACTGAATTTAGATTTAAATATGACGTTTTATGTATCGATCAGAAATCAGAGAACTATTATATAGAGTGAGTATTATTGCCATGTGGCTGTTTGAGAGAATATTTTCAATTACCTGTGCATACAATATCAAAACTATTATCGAGAATTCGTGCTTTCTCACCAATTACACTACCAATGACAATTGTTCGAAAATCCTCTATGTATCCGATATTATATATATATATATATATATATGTAATTTGAAAATTCTTGAAAATCTTAAATACACAATGAATTAATTATTTCAGCTCTCAGACTATAATTGAAATCACGATATCATTTCTAATTTTAATTGAAATAAAAGAGATCTTATAAACTTTTTAAAATTACGAGATGTCTTTATAAAACTTTTAATTAATCCCCCCCCATGTCTAGCTAACTTGAAATATTGATAATATTTCATAATGTTTCAATTAAACTGCAGCTGATTATTATATAGAAGTTAAGAAATAAATTTTGATATTCTATATAATTCTTGATCAGTGTTTATAAATTAATCTTCATGACAAAAATTCCTTTGGTTAATTTTTTTTATAATTATTGATTTATAATCAAAATTATTATTTTAAAAATTTATTTTATCAATATGGCCTCACAATAGATTATTATCATTTAGGTATTTTAATTCTATCATTTTCATTATGCATTTAAGTAACGCACCTGAAATTGTACAAATTTTAATTTATAAATTAGACGACTGCTGACTATTTTATTGCTTGCACCCTTATAATAAAACATCATACGCAACTCAGACAGTGGGACCGCTACTCCAATAGTATAAAGCAATTTTTATTAGGAAGTACACAATCAGTTTAATAATCACAGTAATCATTTGTCATCAAAAATATCTCATTTCATTAAAACTATTCTCTTTTATATTTTTTTTTTTTCAAGAAAAATTTTAATAATTTAATTCTTTATTCGATTTTAAATTTTTTTAAATATTTCTATATCAAATATTTATCTTAAAGAATATTATATAAATAAATATTTCTAGAAAGTTGAAAAAAAATTAATAAGAATCGAATTCGTCTCTGAAATAGAAATACACGTCCTAATATAAGGTACGTGCTGGCATTTCCGCATCAGCACAACGATCGATAAAGCATGCCAAATAGTTGTGTGCTCTTTCGATAATGTTGAATTTTTAATTCCCCCATCATAATTATACTTAATTTTTCATCTTAAAAAAAAAATTGTTATTTGTTATAAGAAATTAAAATCTTTCATGAATTTTCTTAACAGAAAAAAAAACTTTCCGAGTCAGTATAGGTATTTAAAAACGAAGCGGAAACTTTATTTTTCAACTCCCATCACGGAATGTAGAAATTAGTTATTATTAAATTGTTGTTCCACTTTCATGGGAATTCTAAAGATGTATTGAAATTTACCATGAGACTTATTCAAATATTTGTCCCCATATCTTACAATAATCAATAAAATTTCTCTTCAATATTAAACCAATAATATATCTATTAATATTCTGTAAAATTCTCATTTTTTAAAAAACTTTTTTCCATGCGTCTAAATAAAGGTAAATTTACTTTTTTTTTAACTTTCTCATAAAAACAGCCTTTTTATTTTTTGATAATACAAAAATATTTAATTTGAATTATTCTTTGAAATAATTGTGAAATTTTATCTAAAGAATAAAGTTGAAAATTTATATTTCTTCCAAGTAATATTTTGATGTAATTTGTAATTTAAAAGAAAATTATTATATAAAATTTCACTGTACGTACATATGAATATTTCTCTTATTTTGGAAGACAGTGGAACGATGTAAATTCTTCTGACGTCAACAATAGACAGAATATTGAATCACAATTCTGATAAATTTTCATTCTCACTTTGGAGTGTAGTAAAGAGAATCGAGGTAATTCCTCGTGATATCACCAACAATGCTTCTGTCAGCAATTTCTTGACTCATACCATACAAGGCGAACTATAAAATAAAAAAGAAAAAAAAACAAAACAAAAAAAAAATTATTAACAAATAAAAATTTAGTAGGGGAAAAAAGTTTAATAAAAGTTTAATTAAAATTGCGTTATTTTCCTAATGAGTTTTTAGAAAATATTCATTTTAATTTTCAAACTTATTTTGACTTCGGACAGAAAGTGAATTTTTATATTATTATTTATTTGAATTTTCAAACTCACCTGACCCCGAACAGGAACTTTCGGATTTTTCATTGTAATATCAAGAGCACTTTGGACATCGTCTAAAAATTGATCAGCAACTCCTTTCTCAGTGTGCACGTGCGTCACACATAAATGAATACCACTTGGAAATTGAAGGGAATTTAAATTCCAACCCTTAGCCCTAAGTAATTCGCCAAGTCGATAAATATGAAAATCTTTTGAGCCAATGGCAACTACAGAAGTCGCAGGTGTGCCAAAAATGCAAATACCTTCCATTTTTCTCAATCTAAAAATATTAATGATTAAAAAATATTCAATAAAAATTTAATAAAAAAAAAGTACATATTAAAAAAAAGATTTAATTAAAATAAAAATTCTTTTCAATTGTTTTCTTTTTCTATTGTGATTTTAGTTTTAACTTTTGTAAATTTTTGATACGCACTCTCTTTCAATATATTTGGTAGTGTCGATAATTTTTCTCGTCGCCTCCAGATAACCATTGTTTCCAAAATACATCATTGATGCCCAACAGGATGCTATAATTCCACCAGCACGTGAACCATTTACTGTTGGCGATCCATAAATTCCACCCGGCCAATCTGTTGACACTGTGTATTGATGATTTCTATATTTCTTATCACGATAGAGAATTACCGATGAACCTTTCGGTGCATATCCATACTAAAAAAAAAAAAAAAAACGAAAACGTTTCATTGATAACAGAAAATTCGCATAGAGAAAAAATAAAAAAAAAAAATTAAGAACCTTATGTGTGTCAGCGGAAATACTCGTCACTCCCGGTAGTCTAAAATCAAATAACGGCAAATTATAACCGACTTTCTCCATAAAACAAATTAAAAATCCTCCCAAGCAAGCATCAACGTGAACTGGAATATTATAACGAACGCCAAGATTTGTAATTGATTCGATATTGTCCATTGTACCGTAAGGAAAATTCGGAGCAGATCCAACGAGCTATGAAAAGTAATTTAATGTCCTGAGAAATTTATTCTATGTACTATATATTAATAATTTTTTTTTTTTGTCCTGAGATAGATATTACCATAATAGTATTTTTTGTAATTGCTCTTTGCATAGCATCGATACTGCAAGTGAAACTTTTTGAATTTACCGGTACGAGGCGAACTTTTATTTTTAAAAATTGTGCAGCCTTATCGAATGCTGAATGAGCAGTTGTGGGGATAACCATTTCAGGTTTCTTGATTCCCTTCACCTCTTTCGCATAATCTCTATAAGCCTTGCACGCTAATAGAATTGATTCCGTACCACCTGTTGTCATCTAAAAATATAAAACGAAATTATTCAATGATCTTTTTTAAAAAAAAAACAAAAATTAATAATAAAATAAGAAGAAAATTTTAATTTACAGTTCCACAAGAGGCTTCATCTCCATTGAATAAATTACAAGCAATTCTCACTACTTCGGCTTCCATTTTACAAACACCGGGAAAAACATCAGGATGAAGTGGATTTGTATAGGAAGCAATTCGATAAATATTACCCATTAATTGAGTGAGATTTTTATCACTTTTATAAACAGTTCCCGATACTTTACCACGTTCCCAATCATAATCACCTGTAAATAATTTTACCAATATAATAAAATTGTCAAATAATTTTAAATAATAATTACGTTTCAATGATTCGTTACCTAATTGAATGTGTTGTTCAACTAATTTTAAAATATCTTCTGAACTTAAACCTTTTGTTGGAAGATTAACAATATATGGCACATCTTTTACTCTATCAACAGCATCTTTTTGAAAATCTGTTCCTACTTTATTTAATTCTCTGTCAATTTTCTCACGAACAGATGGTATATAACGAGCTAATTTAAGTCCCTTTTTCTTTGCTCTTTCCACGAGACCTAAAAATTAAAAAATTTATATCAATAAATAAAATTAGTTGTAACTTGAAAATTTAATTAAGAATTAATTTCATACTTTCATCTTGAAAAATCACATCCCAGAGCCAAATAGATGTAAGTAAAGTGGTTGTAGTTATCGTTACAATTTGCCATGGTTCTTTTTCTTTAAAAACATCATTAATAAACAATTTTACCGTTCCCAACAGTGGAATATTTATCATATCTAAAATATAAATTGTCATATGTTCAATAATACTGTAAAGTATATGAAAAAAAGTTATACATATGCATAATTTATTATTAGGGTTCAATAATGAAAGAATTGTTAATGTTGCATTTAAATAAAGTCTTGTGAAATAAGTAGCACACTAAATTGGAATATAATATAAAAAATAATATACAATAATTAAATATTTAAAGAAATATATTCTACTTACTTAAAATGTTTTTAGTAAAGTGTGATCAATGTGACAACAATAAAAATAACCTGTAAATATCTAAAAATAGTATACGTTATCGTGGAGAAATAAATTGTTTCTTATCACCTTATCAAAATTTAAATCAAATGATCTTTGTCCACATTGTCTACCATATGAAAACAAAAGGAGAATAGTAGAGAGAAGTGGAGAAAAATTAACATTGGATAAATCACTGTATAATCATTGTAAATGTCATTGTAGTAAGCGTAAAATTCTGTATTGGACAGTAACGTGATGACCACAAATCATTGATGACGAATTGATGACGTGATGATCAGATAATGATCAGGAGAGGTTAGGTTAATAGCAGTTGGTGGGAAAGTTTCCTTCCTTTCCAACATTTTTCTAACCTAATCTTTAGTTGCGCGTGGGACCCGTAGCCATGTGTATCATTTAAATTTTTTTCCTATAATAAATTTCTTTAAATGCTACAGGGTCCCTTGAACCTCGTAAGGTTTGAAAAAACCATTTAACAATTAAATATTTAAATAAAAATCATTTAGAAATTATAATTCCCTTCTTATTAGAAGTCAAATTTGTGAAACAAATTTTGTGCTGCCCCGGTAAAATTTTTTTTTGCCTTATAAACGCGTAAATAAAATTTCGTGCCAATTTACATGTATATTTATTTAAATTAACGTAGTATTTGTCAATTATTGTAATAAACAAATATCATATATAATACATTAATCCCAGTGGAAAAAAAAACTGTCATTGAAGAAGTGTATTTTTTCAAAGTAGAAAAATAGAACATTTATCAAGTAGCTAGTCGGAAAAATTTGTATATTAGTAATTTGTGTAGTTTTTGTTTTACATATGTCGTAATTAATGCTGGAAGTACGTAGAAACATGTTCTTTGGGGTTTGTGTTACTGTGGGAATTGTCTTTTTGGCATCCAAGTATCGCGACAACGTATTTCGGAGTGTCAAACAATTTTGTCACAGTATCACCAACACAAATCGCAAGGATGATGATGAAGAAATCAAAGAAAATGTTAATAAAACGACAAAAGAAATAAAACTTTCATTAGACAAAGTTATTTTGGCTGATTCGCCAGAAAAATGCGATTACGCTGTTCAACGTATTCGCGGGTAAATTAAAAATTCTAAAATTATTTAAATAGTATATTGGAATTTATTTGAGAAATTATATTAATTATAGAATTTTATTTTATTCAAGAAGAATTTAATTCTCTTTTCAATTTGAAAATAAACATTTCTTTTGTTTACGTTCATTAGATTTTCACCTTTCAATAGCAATGTACAATAGAATATCATAAATATTTCTCTAATTAAGAATTTAATTATGTTTACATTTTTTTAAAGGGACTTGTCGAACGGCATATTAGGCTTTGATTGTGAATGGGTCAATGAAGGACCTGTTTCGTTACTTCAACTTGCCACTGATAATGGAGTTTGTGCTTTATTTCGCATTGGAAAAATTGGCTATGTTCCACCAAAATTGAAAGTAATTTATTATTTTGGAAATTTAATTATTGTTTTTAAAACGGAGAATAGATTTCGTTTTGTTAATTTTATGTTTTTTTTAGGAGCTGCTGTCAAATAGACACCTTTTAAAAGTGGGCGTTGCTCCTTTCGAAGATGGAAGAAAATTAACAAAAGATTATGGATGTAAAATTTATGGGACACTTGATCTCAGGACTCTTGCAGAACGTCTTGATCTTCCTAGTCCAAAAAGTTTGGCAGCATTGAGCTTGGAATATCTTGGGCTTGAATTGGAAAAAATAATGGAAATTAGATGCAGTGATTGGAATAATGACACTCTTACAGATGATCAGATAGCTTATGCTTCATATGATGCATTGGCTTCAATTTTCATCTATCACCAGGTAAGAGTCTTGATTTTTTTTTTTTTAAATTAATATTCTCTTATTAAAATTTTTTTTTTTTTCATAGATCCTGCAAAGAGCGAAACGAAAACAATCTCTGTGGCAATATTTCATGCAGTTTTTTAAAAGCATTTGGGAGAAAGATGAAGATGAAAAATTTTACGGCTTACCTAATGGCGTTCTTGACACGAGGTATAAATATTAGTAAATATAAATTAAAAGTTTCAATTGTTATTAATAATTGATCTTAATTTTGTTTTTAGGTTCAAGGCTCAACGGGGTAGCGGTGTTAGTAGTACAACTTCAAATAATAATAATAAATTAAATCAAATAATAAATAGAAATATTAATGGAACAAACAAGAATAACATTCCTGCAAGAAATAAACCTTTGTATCATAATTGTTATCTTCAAGCTCCAGATGGAGATACTTTGTGTACGTGTGATCGTAAAAAAGCCGAATGGTATGTTGCAAAAGAATTGGGACAAGTTGTCAATGAAGATCCATATACGGTGAAACTTAAATTCGAACCGTCTGGACGTGCTTTAGGCGAAGTTGGTCAATACTATACTCAAGTGAAACTTAATCAATGTGTTGTTTGTGGTTCAGATGAGAAATTCGTCAGAAAAAATGTTGTCCCAAGAGAATATCGCAAATATTTTCCACGTTAGTATAACAAAGCAAATTTTCATTTAATATAATAAATTAAAAAATTTAATTTTTTCAGTTGTAATGAAAGCGCATCAATCTCATGATGTATTGCTGCTCTGTCCATCATGTCATGAAGTGAGTAATTATCATGATGTTGAGTTAAGAAGACGATTGTCACAAATGTGTGATGCTCCTCTACCTGGTCCGTCAACTCATTCGCGAGATGAAATTCCTCGTGGATGGCGAAGATTGCAATCTGCAGTCAAAGCACTTAGAGGTAAGGCCATGATTCCTGCACAAAGACGCAAGGATCTTGAGTCTTACATTCTGTCATTTACTGGACAACGTGAATTTTCGCCAATGCTATTAGACGTTCTTCACGAGCGACTCAAAAATAGACCCGAGCCAAAAATTACAACTAAATGTGAACCACACGGTCTTCAGGTAAAGTGTCACAATTTGTAAAAATTAATCACTAAAATTAAAAACTTATAAATTATTATCAAATTACAGGTGGTGCGTCACTTTGAGAAAACAGATGGTGGTCTAGTGGAACTTGAGAGGCTTTGGAGAGAACATTTTCTAACTGTGATGAAGCCACGGTTTCTTCCAAAATTGTGGTCAGTCTGCCACAATCAAGAACGACTTGCAATACGTCAAACACAAAATAGAATAGAGCCACAGGATGCAAGGGTAGCTGGATTAGTGCATTAAAAAAAGTATTTTTTTTTTTCTATAAAAGTAATTTTAAATCGTACCTGAAAGGACTCGTATAAGAGCGAGTACTTTAATTTTTTATAAAGACTGTATAAATGATTTCAAAAATCAACTGTACTTATTTAATCAAAATAATTCAGTCTAATTTATATTTATTCAAAGTACATAGTCTTTTTTATATTTATAAAATAATTATGTAATGTGTAATTTAAAATGTAGTGTAAATTAAAAATTGTGTAGTGTATATATATATATATTTTTGAACTGTAGTGTAAAATTTTTTTTTTTGAAATTTGTAATGTATATTTGAAAGATGTAGTGTAATATTTTTGTAAAACAAGTAATGTAGATGTATTTTCAAATGTAAAAAAAAAAAATTCAAAATAATGTAAAATGTAGTGTAATTGAAAAATTGTAAAACTATAATAAGGTGCTTTTTCACCTTGAAATGTAAAATTTCTCATATCATTCGTAAAACATTAAAAACAAAAAGGAACGATTATTTTATGTATTTTATTATTAGGAATAATAATTCCTTTTGTGTCCTTTTTATTGTTTTACTGTTTTGTATAATTGATTAATTCTTAATGAGTGTCAGTATTGTCTTTTTGATCAAAATTCACGTTATTTAGTAATTTAAGAAAGTGAAAATGATATATATTTCACAGGTGAAATTGCAATTTTACGAGAATGCAAGTTTATAAATAAATATTTTACTATGAACTTTAGTTGTTAATTATTTAAATATCTATTTAAATTTTTTTAAATATGTAAAAGGAACGTGAAAAAGATAAAACTTTTCTAAGATTAACTTAGATTTTTTTATTTTAATCAATAAAATCGAGATTAATCACAATTTTATATACAGTGGGCCTATTAAAAAAAAATTAACAAAATTATTATGTTTTTTCTTCTTTCATACTAGATTTTTGTTCTTTTTGGGAACTTACATGCTGGAGCTCCTCGTCAATTCGTTCTTTAGCTCTAACTACTTTGGATTGAAGATAAAAAGAGCCACCTTTTGATCTATCATTTGCTTCCATAAGATATTTGTAATGTTTGTCTATTTGTTCCTTTTCATTTGGTTTTTCTACATTAAGTATTTTAAGAGCTTCTTCTAAAGAAATTCCAGTTTTAGCATTTGCTGCAGCTCGTTGTGCACCTCTTTCACCGCCACCAGCTCTACGAGCAGCTTCTTGACTTGCAGCAATTTCCTGACGAAGAGCTCGTGCAAAGGCCTTTGCAACTACTTGAGAACCAAGAACAATAATTTGTACTATATATTTTGCCATAATTTAAAATAATATTCACCACGTCGTTTTAAACGACGCACACAATTCTTATATGTCAATTATTTATGTTATAAACTTGACATTCAAAACTCCAAAATGTTGTACACATAACCTCAAAAATTGATTATCTGCAATAAAACAAGTAATAATTGAAAACATTGATTAATGTTTTTTTTTTTTTTAATAAAATAAAATGTTAAGTCGACAGAACTATAATTAATTTTAAAAGTCAATTCAATGACACAAAATATATATAGCGAAATATAAAATAAACTTTTCAAACCTTTTAGATGCGATAATACAAGGACGAGAAACAATTAATTCAGGAAAGTGAATAATATAATTTCGTGTATATATCTTATTAAATTATTGTTGAAGGTTTAATTTTTAAATAATTTAAACACCGATATTGTTTTACGTACATTTTTGCATGTTCTTTTGCAATTCTTTGGTATATATATACACGTGCGTATTCACTTACAACATTCGCAGGTCTAATGACGTAAGAAATTTTGAGGTTAAGTTTCTTGGATATTTTTCAAGAATGAAAGGAAATTTCCGATAAATTTCAGTGTACATTCTGCAAGTTAATAAAAAAAGTGTCATCGTTAAATTATCTATAATTAAATGGTTATAATTAGTGAAAATCAATAAATCGCAACTTTTGATAAATACCTGTAGCTCTAATATAGTCCAAAGAATAATTATTTTATAAAGAAATATTTAAATTTTCAGTGTGGATATATACATCAAATAGAACACGTGTTTTTTGACAGTTCATAAGTTTCTAATGTATGGATAAAAATACATAATAACATTTGTATTAATTTGAAACTATTTTAAGACAGCTTCTTTGGATATATAAATTTCAAAAATGAATTGTAATATTATGGAATTGTTAGAAAATGACAAAATGACAAGGGTTTGTGCTCCCATGGTTAGGTATAGTAAGTAAGTATATAATAATTATAAGATTTTTAAAATACTATCAATTAAGTTTAAATATTAAAAAACAACAAATTTTTTATTTAAAGGCTGCAATTTCGAACACTGGTGAGACGATACAATTGCGATATTTGTTTTACACCAATGATTTTGGCAGATTCATTTGTACAATCCTCGAAGGCTCGTGATAACGAATTTACAACAAATTCAGATGATAAACCTCTTATTGTTCAATTTGCTGCAAAAAACGCTGACGATTTTATTCAAGCTGCAGAAATGATTGCACCGTAAATTAATTTACATGTTTAATTTTTTAAAATAATTATATTAGATAATTTTTGAATCGTTATTTATGTAATCTAAATAATTTTTTTAGTTATTCCAATGGAGTGGATTTAAATTGTGGATGTCCTCAACGTTGGGCTATGAAAGATGGATATGGAGCACATTTATTAAAAGAGCCACATATTATCAAAGATTTAATATACCAGGTGCGAAATCACATTCCTAAGCCATTCACAGTATCAGTGAAAATTCGTCTTTTGAAAAATATAAAAGAAGCCGTTCAAATTTGTCAAACAATTGAAAATGCTGGAGCATCATTTCTTACAATTCATGCGCGAACACCCGAAATGAGAAATGAACCAATTGATTTGGAAGGTTTAAAAATTTTACGTGACTCCGTTAAAATTCCCGTAATTGCTAATGGTGCTGTAAAAACACTTGAAGATGCATTAATTCTACATGAAAAATCCCGATGTAATGGTATTATGTCAGCAGGTGGAATTTTAACAAATCCCACATTATTTTCAGGCTCAAGTGTAACAACATTAAATTGTATTCAAGATTGGCTTGATATAACATCGGTAATTCCAACTAATTTTTTGACTTTTCATCATCATTTAGTATTTATGCTCGAAAAAGTGGTACCCAAGACGGAGAGAAAAATTTTCAATGTCATGCAAGATAAGAATTCTGTTTTAAATTTCATTGAAGAATATTTTAATTTAACTCCTAATGTTAATTATAATCGTTATAAAAATATTGAATGTGTCTATGAAACAGTAGCGAACAAATGTACAAAGAGTGAAAATTTAAATAATGATGGACTATCACATATGTTTTTGGAAAATTTGTTTATCAGTTGAAGATTCTCAATGTGAAAAGGATTTTGATTGAAGGTATTTTTTATAATTTTTAATTATATATAGTCGAACATTTATTTTTCATTTTATAAAAACAAGTTTTATTAATAAAATTTAAATGTACTTCTTTCTTATTTCTCTTACTTAAAATATATTTGAAATTCCCGCTAGTAAAACATGGCGTACTATTTTTTATTGAAAAGTAATTCCAAGAATTTCTGGATTCTGACGTGCTGTTAATCCCACTCGCAACCGGGATGTTGAGAATATTTTTTTAATGTCATGTTTAAAAATTAATTACATATATATAATTTAATCATAGTAATAATGTAATTAATAATTACGTTTTTATATGGAGGAAAAGAAAAATGATGGAACATTGATTAACTTGCCTGTTAAATAAATTACTTTATCGCGTGTATAAACTTATTTTGGAGTAATTTGTAAGTATATAAATTTTATTTATTGATATAAATGTTTTCTTTTAATATTTACTGAAAAATGTTTTTTTTTCAAAGATACATTTTCTAAACTATATTCAAGTTAACCTATAAATATGATTTGTTTATTTTGAAAGTTTGTGGGATAAACATTTTGTTTTGAAAACATGTGTAAAATATTCAAAATTAATTAATTTATTTATTTACAAAATTTTGTTTAACAAATATTAGTTTTATTAAAATTGCGCATTTTATATACATGAATGTATATAATTTAATTTTCTACTATCTCTTTTTAGATTAATGAATAAATAAATATATAACTTGTAGAACGATTTATAGAAGGGAAAAAAATCTGATTACAGACAATAATGTCAACTCCAATGAGTGAAGACAGTGGTGTGCTAAGAGAATGGGCTCCACTAGCAACTCTTCTTCAACGATTACCAGCAAAAATTCAAAATGGACTTTTTTCACAAAATATTAATTTCACTTGCATTGATGTCCTTCCTGAATTTATAGCAATTGGTACAAATCATGGTCTTGTTTATTGGTTTAATCGTGAAAGTGGTGAAATACAAAAACTTCGTTGCGAAGTAAGTTTTTATTATGTTAATTAATAATAATAATTAATAAAGAGTAATTGAAAAAAAATTATGTTTTTAGAATTTAAATACAATAATTACTTGTATACGAGTAATTTCAACAGTTGATTATATGGTCGCTGTGGGAAACGATCAAGGAATAGTTACAGTTTTTCAAATTCCAAAACAACCTCCAGATTCATTGCCAGAAAGTCTAAAACCAAAACAAAAGAAACAAGTAAGATTTTTTTTACATATTTTAATAAAATAAAGGGTTATTTCTATTTTTATTTCTATTTTAGGTCGAAAGGTATAATATTGCTGGTTTACATAAATCAACAGTTACGGCTGTTGATTGGTCGAAAAATGGCATGAAACTTTTTAGTGGTGATCAAGATGGTTTAGTCGTTTTTACCGAAATTGATTTTTATATGGTAGGCTCCTAAATATTTATTTTATTTCTTAAGTGGATTTAATTTAAATTTTTCTTTATTATTGCAGCATTTATCTAAATCGTCAGAACTTTTAAACGAAAAGTATTCAATTGTACAGCTTAGTTATCAGCAAGGTTTACTTTTAGTTTCCACATTATTTAGAACGATTCTTGTCAATTTAAATGAAAAAGGAAAGGTCATGCAGGTGGGACAAAAGGAGCGTAAGATGTAAGTTTTATTTTTTGGGTTTTTTGATTCAAAAGTAATATGCAAATTATTATTTTAATGAAATTAATTGAATTTAGATTAGGTAAATTGGGAGCAGTATTTGGAAATCGTATTAGTCTTGGGCAGGAGCCGATAATTTATGCAAGCAGACCTGGTTTAAGACTTTGGCAAGCTGATAAAAATGGAACAGTACTAAAGACGTTAATGTTCAAAGTATAGAAATTTTTGTATTTGAATAATTAGAAAATTTGGATTTTTTGTTTTATTTCAAACTATTTAGAATCATGCATAAAAAATTTTTTAGGACGCAATTCGATTTGGTCATTCTGAAGTGGAATTATTAAATCCAGCGCAAGAAATTACACGAAAAAGTAGAGGTGAACCGACATTTGGAATTATATTGCCATTTTCTGATGATTTATTAATCACTTATAGTGATGATATCATTTATGTTGTTAATCCAATAACTATTAGTATTACATCCGCGATAACTGACGTGAGACACGTCACTGATGTCGCGTGCACAAAAGACGAGATTTTTATCCTTGAAGGCGAAAGAAATATTATTAGAGTCGCTTATCATCCTGAGAATAATTCTTACATTTCTAGTAAGTTGTTTTCTATTTTTAGATTTCTTTTTTTTTAAATTAAAAACTTATTTTTTTCAATTCTAATTTTTAGATACCGATTCAATGATGGATTCAATATCTCTTGCCCAAATTAGCAAACCAGTAACTACAGGAATTTTAGAGTTAACTTCCAAATTAAAGGAAAGTTCAATTGTTCCTGCGATTCCTTTTCATAAAATTAATCCAACGAATATTATTCAAGCAATGGGGTGAGTTGAGAAAAATTTTCTTTGAATATAAATAATAATTAACAATTTTGCAAATTTTTTCTTTTCCATTTGCAGTGTTTTGCCTTCAGTGACAATAGGAACCGATACAACATCAATAATAAATGCAGAAGAAGCCTTAGAAATACCGCCAATTGTTCCATTGGAACTTGAAACACCCTTAGTGACTGACAATGATTCAACATTACGAATTGGAATTGAAACATGTCAAAAAATAATTTCTTTTGAGGAAAATGAAAAACGCAATGATCGTCGTCGTATATTTGAAAAAATTGCCGAACAAGAATTTGAGGATGTTGTATTTACTCCCGAACGTAGGAATAAAAAATCAGTAAATAAAATTAATGGATTTAGAGAAAATAATTCTTCTAATAATAAATTAAAATTTAATAATGGCGTTACAACACAATCTTCATTACTTACATTGAGTATTGATAATGATATGTTATTAAAGTCGGATAGAAATTTAGATTCAATACAAAAAGATGTGGAGAATAAGGAGAAACTTTTAGCCGATGTTTTGAATTTCGATTTATCTGAATATATGACAAGCAGTCGATTATATCCTGTGGATACAAATATTTTAACATCAATTGATGCAATTCCTTATGATAATTGTAGTAGTAGTAGTGTTAATGGAAATGATGATGAATGTTTGGATATAAAACAAGATATTGAAGAACAAGACGAAATAACTGATTGCACAGAAACTGAATCTGTTGAGGAAGACGCAAGTTATAAAACGGAATTAAAGAAACTTGAAGATTTGGGTGAATGTAGTAAAATACTTTTACAAAGCAAATTAAGTGAATTTCAAAATAACAACGTTGATATTGGAGTTGAACCTCCAACTTCAAATATCGGTGTTGATTCAGAACTTCAATTTAATGGTAAATAAGAATATTTATCGTAAATAGAATATTTATCCTAAAAATATAATTATTAATAATAAGTAATAATATTTATTATAACTAATAATATTTATAATAATAATATTCAACGTAATTATACACAATTTTTTTTAACTTAAATTATTTTTAGAATATTTATTTATATAAATAGTAGTAATTTTTTATAATATAATTATATTAAGAAAAAAGAAATAAATATAAAAGTAAAAGAAAAAACACTTTCAGATCTTTCAAGAGACTTTGTGTCAACGATTGTTTACGAGGAGAAAAGAAAAGATAAAGATAATGAAGACTGGGTGTTTGTCAGCTACCCTTGAAAAAAATAATTTCTGATTACTTTATAGTTCAAATGGTCAATTTAGTAGACTGATGGATTCACGCGGTGATTATTATTTTTATTATTATTATAATTTGTTACTATTTTACAATAAGCTTTACAAAAATTAGATTTATATATATTATAGAATTTATTGCCCGGACAAGATACATATTTTTTTCTTTTAATAACAGATATAATTTATATCCTTATAAGTCACAAATGTTAAAATATTTTATTCCAAGAATGCTAATTCAATTTTTTTAATGCAAGATTTATAATAATTTTTTTTTAAATTCTCTTGGAGTATAGAATTAATTGTAAACAAGCTCAATTGAATAGTATTGAAGCAAAAATATTTTTTGCAAGATTTTAGAATATAGAGAAAAAAAAATAATATTAATAAAATAGTTAGGAGAAATGTTATATGATATTTAAAATTTAACTATATAAGCGCAGGAAAATATTGAGATAACAAATTTTATTAAACATCTATTATAGTGCTTTAATTAATAATTGTTTATTATTGCTTTTTTTGAATTAGTTTTTTTTTGAATCTTCTAGTCATATACATTTAAAAAAAAAAATGTTAAAAATTCGTGCTACATAATATTTGTATTTCTTTTATTGTAGTTTTTTTTTTAAATTAAACATGTATAAAGTTAAAAAAAATCTTTTTCATTGAATTTTTATCACATTAAATTGTTTATATTTATTTAAAAATGTTTTTTAAAATAATAAAAAACAAAATTATGGAGATGGGATTAATATTAAAAATCAGGTTCACAGGAAGCGTCGGCGTGTCTTTATTACGAGTATTTCAATGTCTAGTAATATATAATATATAATTTATATAATATACATATAGCCATAATAATCTCCAATATTGTAATGAATGGTCGATTTTGATAGTTAGAGAACGCAAATTTAAGATATAATTATTACTATAATAATACTGAAATTTTAATGGAAAAGTCTTTTTCGTAAAATAATGTAAAATTAAAATTAATTTTTAAATTATAATTAAAAATAATTTAATTATAATTTTTTTTTTATTCAAACAAAAAAGTATAAAAATCATAAATTTGCGCTCTTTATTGCATTTGATACAATATTTCGCTACATCATATATAATAATTTGAAAATCATTGAAGTTTTCGTTAATACGTGAAAAGCGACACTCGCCTCGCAAACAAGTTATAATTTAATAACAGCGAAGAAGTTAACTTGAATTCACTCTCAGCCAATAATAATATTTTTTTTTTAATAATTCAATATTTTTTTCTCAAATTTTTTCATTTTTAAAAATGCTACATTTTATAAAGTATATTCATATATATATATATAATTTTTTTTTAATATCGTTCAATATCCACCAAAGCACAATTATATATATACCGATATTTAAATCTGTAATTAAAGTACAATATAAATGCACAACAACTTTTTTTCTAATTATTTCAATTATTATTTTGTTCATTCCAAAAACCACAACTATATATATATATATTATAATATTTTTTTAAGACAAACGAGATTAATTTTATTTTGAATTTAGATTTTCGAATTTGTTATAATATAAAGAATTATATAAAAATAGATTTTTTTTTCAATTATTCGAATTAAAAACTTTTATATATAAAAACGTGAACAAATTTTATTTCACAAATATTATAATAATAATAATTATTATATAGATTTAAAAAATAATTTTAACAAATTTTATATCGAAATTGTTAAAAATTTGTTGTGACTTTTAGAATGTATAAATTTTTCTAAATTTTCTTTTAAAGTGCGCAAAACAAATTTTCTCAAAAATTTATAAATTGTTAATGAGAAAATAATTTTCATGAATGCCCTTTCGCTTTTTTTTAACCACATCATTATAAATAATTTTACCTTATTCCAACTCTTTCAGACATATCAGTAGAGTGATTGAGAACTTTTTTTTTTTTTTTTTTTTTTCAAAATATGAGATTTTCTTTCATCATTTTCTTTTTGTTTCAAATTTTATCACAGACTGTCAATTTTTCTTTTCATGATATTTTTTATTAATCATGACATTCATTCTTTGAGAGTATTTTTATTTTATTAGTATTTGGTTTAAAGGAAAAAAATCGACAGAATAAAATTTTATAATAGAAAGACTAAAATCAAAATTTATCACGTTTTTGGAAAGTAAACTTTATAATGAATTGTACAATTATAAAAAAAAATTACAAAATTAAATATTATAAAAATTTTCAATAAATGTAGTTTATACATTTGTTACAATTTTTTTTTCTTTAAATGATTTGGAAATTTAATGACTATCTCTTAATTTGTCATCGTTATATAAAAAACGTATATTAGTACCCTGTTAAAAATGGTTATCGTTCTTACATTTTTTTTTTTTTTTGCAAAACTAATATTTCTATCATTATTGCATTATTACAAATACACATACAATATATTTATATACATACACGAATTCACATCTACAAAGAACTTATTAAGTTCTATGTGTAAATTGGAAAATATTTAACTTTCACTTCGTTGCACTTTTTTTTTTTGTACAAACGCAAATAAAAGATAACAAAATTTAATAGTTATAAATAAATTTGAATCTTTCTCTTTATAAAAGAAAATCGATTTTGAAATTATCTCATATTTTGGTAAAAAAAAAAAAAGTTCTCGTTGATCACTTTATTCGTTCTTTTTTTTTTATATCCAACCACAGCCTTTCTAATCCACATTTTATGAGATTTGATTAAAATCTCATTAATTCTGGCCTTCGAATGGTTTTATATAATATATTATATAATGTATATATTTATATACATTCAATTTTTTTTTATTATTTATATTTTGTGTATAATTGAATTACATTATTAATATGGTCTATCTATTTATAGTAGGCGTTAGAGACTACGGGAGTACAAACGAAATCCCGAATCTCATTCGATTCATTCACTCGATCTTGCAATTTTTGGTTTTTCAAAAAAAAAAAAAAAAAATTAATTAATTAATTTCTCTTTAAATCAGATTTTCATCTAATTTCACATGTGTGCTGATTTTTAAGCGCGAGATTGACGATTTTTATTTATTCATTCACACGCACAAATTCATTCAATTATATCGTGTTGAGACATTTTTTTTTTTTTTTTATTCTATATCACTGTCTTTTTTTTATTTCACATTCTAATAATGTTATAATGTACCACCCATCATTCGTTATTTTGCATCTCCGGTTACATAATTTTTTTCCATTTCAAGATCAGCAGCAGTGTTTTGACACAATTTTATTTTTTATTTTTCAGTCTCTATTTTTTTTTTTTTTTATTTCTGTCTTGACAATAATATAATAATTAATTTTTGTCTAATTATAAAATAATAAATAATTTATGAATATAAATAACATTATTTATTGAGATCTAAAAACTTCGATTGTCAATTATTTATTTTTAATTAGTAATTTTATTTTCTTTTAGGGGGGGGGGAAATTATTTTTATTTGGATAATTATATAAAAAATGGATGGTAATTAAATTAATTTATCTTTTTTTTTTTTTTTTGTTGATAATGAAAAAAAAATAGAGACGGAAAAATCATTTCCGACAGTAGTTGATATTTTCTCTTTGGCGTTAAAAAACAAAAATTGGAAAAATGGATTTTGTGACATCATTCGTTTTTGATGATTGTTTTTCTTTTTTAGCTATCAAAAAGAAAATATCAGTGCTTTTTTGTTTTATCCTCTCATTACATGATCCATCGTCGTCAAATACTCGAGTCACAAATTTTTTTTTTTTTTAACTATGAATGTCAGTCATTATATAAGTTCGAAATGTACTCTTGCGCTAAAGTTGGTAAATATTGTGGACTTTTGGACGTGGATTTTTGGATGGAGTGTGGTGTATTGTAAATGTTTTTTTTTTTTTTTTTTTTTTTTTTTTTTTTTTTTAAATGCGCGTGAGATAGAAAAGCTTTTTTCTGTTTCTTTTCCCCTTTATTTTTGTTTTTGCTGTATAATTTTTTTTTTCAACTAAAAAAATTCAGGCAAAATTTTTTTTCCAGCATAAATGGCAAATCTGTTTGTGTGTATATATGTTTTTGTGTATACGAGCTTTTCCAATTGTTATATCGAACGTGTTTAATATATATTTTAAAAACAGTAATTTCTAAATTAATAAATTTCACACAAAAAAATAAGCAGAGATTTTTTGTATCAAATCGACGGAATGAGGAATAACTGCATTTTAATAATTTCATTTATTATATATATATATATGTTAAATTTTCATATTTTTTTTTTCTATATGAAAATGGGATTTATTTTTCTGAAATTCTGCTTTGGAATATTTTTTTCTTCTTTTTTATTAGGCAATATTATTTATATGAGAAAAAGGTATCACACGGTTATTTATTTATTTATTTTTTTTTTTTGATGAAAATTTTGGACGAATATATTAAAAATGCGGATTTAATTTGTAAAATGTTTTTCTTTTTTTGTTTTTTAAGCTTGATGCATTTGAATTTTTAAAATTTGAAAAATGAGAATTTATGGCGAAACTGATATAGAATGAGAAGAAGCGATGCAAAACTAGAATAGTATGTGGTTTTAATTATAACTTTGCGAAAAATTCGAGAAATCGATGTTGACAATATTTTTTTTTTTTTTTTTTTCTAAATATTGTATTAAAAACACTAGGAATCACTTTTTTGCGGACAAAAAACGGGTGCCGCTATTTTTTTTTTCATCTCTTTTTTTCAGAGCAAAATTTTTTTGCTGAATGCATATCTATTTTTTTTTTTTTAATGTAGATTAACAACATTAGAGTGTCGATTATGTTTGGTATTATAAATGATAAATACCAAACAATTAACACGTGCTGATTTTTTTTTTCTTCTTAATCTTCCCTGGATGTCACTACATTATTTAGGAAGCAAATATAAGCGAAAAAACATCGTATGAAACATTCTACAACTCGTTTACAATCACGTATTTTGATACATCCAGTTTTTTTTTTGAAATCTTTTTTTTTTTTTCATATAAAACGCACGAGAAGCTTACAAAGGCTTCTTGAACTTTATATTTTATATATCACTAATATTTATTATTAATTCCACTCTCTACTCTCAGAATTCGATTTGATTTTTTAATTTGAAAAAAGAACCGAACCAAAACTATATAATAATAAAAAAAAGTATTTAAATTAAAGATTTGAGAAATATTTTTTTTTTTCAAGGGCGCTCTATTTTTTCAGTGGGGAATTTTGAGAATGAGAGTTTTGAGAAATTCTAAGCTTGATGTATATCGCGAGAGTGAAAAATTCACTATTATAACTGTCGGAAGATTTCGGCGTCACTAATATTCGATAATTTTGAAAAAAAAAAATTCTAATTGATACAAAAAAAACAAAAAAATCGAAAAAAATTTTTCGAATTATTAAATAACAGTTCGATCTACGAATTAATTTTTATTGTTATATAGCGATAATAGAAAATGCAGGCGAATAAATTAAAAGAGAAATCTCCTTTCGCTCAAGGAACCAGCCCTTTATCGTTTAATTTTTTTTTTTTTAAGGGAATGATTTCTAAAAATTAAAAAATTTCAATTTTCAATGCGATTGGGTAAAAGAATAAGTGAGCCTGAATTTTACGTTTATTTATAATTTTCCTTATAGAGCAATAACCAATCGCGTGTTAATAATAAAAATTTAATTTAAGGCTCTAATTTTCTGGGCCCTTTCCCCAAAATTTATCAAATCGATTTCGAGCCATTTCAAGAACATCAGTGGCAGCCGAACGTTGCGATGAACCTGGACTTATTGGCGCTTCCAATACGTGATATCCCGTTCCACTTAATTGTGGTGATGTCGCTTCTAAAACATGATAACCATGTTGTCCAGGAGCAGTGGCAGTCATTGTTGTTGTTGTTGGAACATTACTTTCATTTTTTCTCTCAAATTCAAAAACTGGATCATCAAGACATCGTAGATTTGTACCAGCCACGGGTTTTATTGATGATTCAGCCGTTTGTTGTTTATCATCAGCATCGTCGAGTAAATTCTAAAGAATTAAATATTCCCCGAAAAAAATAATTTAAAAAAAAAAATATCATTTTTAAATATAATTTTCGAAAAAAGTAATATAATTATAAAATAATTTAAAAATTATGTTCTTTTATGTATAAGAAAAAAATACCTTGGTACTTTTTGTTGGAGTTGGAGTACGTTGTACGTTTGCTAATAATGGACTACCTCTATCTGAATCGGGATCTTTATGACCATTTGTTCCTGTAAAACTTCCTAAAGACACGCTTTCACTTTCTGGTGATTTATAACCGGATTGTTGCGAATGTTGAGATTTGTGCAAATGTGCTAATTCCGGTGGTGCTGATTGTGGAGCTGAAGGCAGTGATGATGGACCCCATGATTTTGCCTCACTATGCGGTCTTGTTAGCGGATCCCCTTTTTTTTTTTTTTAGAATTATAATAATTTATAAAAAACGAGAACAATTGTAAAAATAATAATAACAACTACAACAATAATAATGATAATAATAATAATTATTATTATTTCTATTACCATATAATTTAGGAATAATAATAATAATAATTTATAATTTAGGAATAAGTAGTACAAGTCAATTTGAGACTGAAAAAATTTCCCCATGCCTGACGTAATATGTATCCTATCTACTTATTGTGATGAAAAATTAATTTTCTCTAAATTAAAAATGTATATTTATCATTTTTATATAGAGAAAATAAGGGACGCATGATTATGTTCGCTAAAAATCATTAGTCATAATTTACATTTTATCGAATTTTATTTCTCCTAATTAGTTTTGAGCCGAATTTTTATTTGTTCGAAATAGCATTTTGCATAATTTACATATCAAAGTGATTTTCTATATTACAAAATTTTTATATAACTGAAAATTCACTTCAAAGAATTTTTATTTCTTCGAATTTTTATTTCTTTGAATTTTTATTTGTTAGAATTTTTATTTGCTCGAATTTTCATTTAACATAATACGCATTTTAAAAGAATTTTTATTGGTGGTAGAATTTCATTGAATATAGAATTTTCATTCAGATGAATTTTCATTTGTTTGAATTATTATTTGATATAATTTCCATATAATCGATTTTGTATACTACAGAAAATTTTTACTTAATCGAAAAATCATTTAATAGAATTTCTAATTGATAGAATTTTCTTTTTTTTTCATGACCGAACAAACGATTTTGGCGCGATTTTTAAAATCAACCAATCACAAAATTATCCATAAAAATGTTATTGGTTGATTTTAAAAATCGCGCCGAAATCTTTCTGTCCGATTGTTTGTTTGGCCATTTGCAAATTCGGACAAATGTAAATTCTATCAATTAAAAATTCTATTAAATGATTTAATAGAATTTCTAATTGATTTATTTTTCTAATTGACAGAATTTCATTTGTTTTCATGATCGAACAAACAAACGATTTTGGCGCGATTTTTAAAATCAACCAATCAAAAATTGTTATTGGTTGATTTTAAAAATCGCGCCGAAATCTTTCTGTCCGATTGTTTGTTTGGCCATTTGCAAATTCGGACAAATGTAAATTCTATCAATTAGAAATTCTATTAAATCATTTAATAAAATAAATCAATAAGAAATTCTATTAAATCATTTAATAGAATTTCTAATTGATAGAATTTACATTTGTCCGAATTTGCAAATGGCCAAACAAACAATCGGACAGAAAGATTTCGGCGCGATTTTTAAAATCAACCAATAACAATTTTATGGATAATTTTTGATTGGTTGATTTTAAAAATCGCGCCAAAATCGTTTGTTTTTGTTCGGTCATGAAAATAAATGAAAATTCTATCAATTTGAAATTCTATTAAATGATTTTTCGGTTAAGTAAAAATTTTCTGTAGTATAAAAAATCAATTATATGGAAATTATATCAAATAATAATTCGAAGAAATGAAAATTCATCTGAATGAAAATTCTATTCAATGAAATTCTAACCAATAAAAAAATCTTTAAAATGCCTATTATAAATGAAAATTCGAGCAAATAAAAATTCTGACAAATAAAAATTCGAAGAAATAAAAATTATTTGAAGTGAATTTTCAGTTATATAAAAATTCTGTAATATAAAAAATCGCTTTGATATGTAAATTATTCAAAAATGCTATTTCGAAGAAATAAAAATTCGGCTCAAAACTAATTAGGACAAATAAAATTCGATAAAAATGTAAATTATGACTATAATGATTTTTAGAACATATAATCATATGCGTTCCGAAAATAATATATATATATGTATATATTTTTTTTTTTTTATAAATCGTACCTTCCCTCACGTTTTGAGTGACAGTGAATGTTTTCCCTGTGTCCAATGGTACGGTCCAATTTACTGGTTCCGGTGATCGCATTATCATTTGTTCTGGTGATTTGACGCGCGTTGGCTCCGGTGGACTCTTTATCACTGGTTCGTCGTCGAACCATGGACTTTCGATCGACGCTGGTGCAACGTGAGCTGGTACTTGCGATGGCGGAGTTGAAGCGACGCTCGATCCTCCTGTTGCGTTCCCGTTTAATTGGGGTTCCGCTGTCACTAGAATCCATAATTGATACTTATACAGAATTTATAATTTCTTTATTCTTTATATTTTTTATTCAAGCCTGATGATTTATTTTCAAATAAAAAAAAATATATATATATATATAAAATCGAAAAATTATTTTTTATTTATATTATATAATTTTTAATGTTAATCCGTAGAGTCAATATTATAATTAAATAAAATATATATATATATATATATATATATACATAATAAATATTAAATATAAAAGTTAAAATAACCTTTATATAATAAATTTTTACTTTTGAAAAAATTTTACCAAAAAAATTCACATCAAGCTTGAATTTTTATTTTTTCAATAGAATTTTAAAGACAAGATTGACCTGAAAAAATATTTTTAAAAAAATTTTCGAATATATATACATATATAATAATTTTATTTGAATAAAGAGACACAATCTTGTCTATAAGAGCTCTATTTTGAAATATGTAATCACAACAAAAACAAAAATTTGCATCAAATTTTACTCGAGTGACCTATAAAATTACATTGAAATTTTGTAACATTTATATATGTACATAGAAAGACAGAGAGAGAGAGAAAAACAGAGAGAGAGAGAGAGAGAGAGACAAAGATAGTTTCTAGAAAGCAACATTTACAGTTAATGCACAATCAATTATATATATATAGTTGCAAGTGTATATATATATATATAGAAACTTTTCAATAAAATACCACTCGTGCTATGGTTATCAATATTGTATTTCACTCTGCCAAAGTATAATAATTATTATATATAAAAATATATTTTAAAACTTACATCAACCACAGAAATATTCTAATTTTTCTTAAACGAATTTTTAAAGAGAATATTTCTTTTTTTATTTTTTTATTTGTAATAACTAAATAAAATTTTTTTTCAGGCAAAAATTTATATGCCCATTATATTATATATTTATCAAAGAAACTGGAATTATTGATAAAAAGTTGTACACAATAACAGTTTTAATATTAAAAAAAAAGTTACTTAATATATTTAATTATTAGAATAATTTTAATTTCAATACAAATAAAGTATTTAAAGGGATTTATATAATCTACATTACAAATAACTGCGTAACTTCAAAAAAAAAAAAAAAGAAAAATTCCAATTTTCCAGGTAAAAAAAACTATTTCAAACTACGACAGAAGAATTATTATAATTACTTTTTAATAATAATAAATAATTTTCAAGGAAAAATTAATAAACATAAAAAAGAAGAAAAAAAAAATAAACATTAAAATACTATATTAATTTTTGCAATTAAATTAAAAATCTAAATAAAACATAAAAAAAAAAATTCAAAAGTCAAATTGTCGTCAATTAAATTATTAATTAAAAAAATCATTTTTTATTTTTAAATGTATATAGGTATTTATAAAGGAAGGAATAGAAAAATAGGAAAAACTATTTCTTGCTTTTATCTATTTTTTTGCTCATTTAAAAAAAAAAAGATCAATTTCTTATTTAGAAATATTTTTAGGTATTTGTAAAAAAAAAATCTTTAGAGAAAAAATATTTATATTCAATAATAATATTTTGGAAATTGATCCTTTGTGAAGGGTCAGTAAGTGGAAAATGCACCGACATGCGAACTTTAATACGGCGCAGGTTATTTATTTTTTTTTTTTTTTAATATTTCAGGCTAACGTAAATTTTTTAACAAACTTTAACTGCTGGTTCTTCCGTGGTGCATTTTCTGCTGTGATACTTTCCCTGTGTGCACCTGTAATTTATTGGTAAAAAAAAACTATGGAATATTGGTTCAAAATAACATCTAAAAGAAAAATTTTTTTTTTTTTTTATACTAATTGGAAATATACTTGGGGCATTTTTTTTTTCATGACAAGCTGAACGATTGCTAAATGTTTATAATGATATACATACGAAAAAAAATATATATGATAATAGTATTCAGATGTAATGGAAGTCACCAATAAGCAATTTTTTTGTTATAACGTCAAAGAGAAAATTCAAACAACAACGATATAGAGAAAAAAATATTTAAAAAGTATTTTTTATTGTATTTTACAGCCACGAATTACGTTAATGAAAAAAATGAATTTTTTCATTTAATTATAGCAAAAATAAAAACAAAAAAAGCTTTAGTATGAAAAATATGATGATCTTATCCAAAAATAAGGTAAAATTTCCTTTGTTATACATGCAATTTTTAGTGGAAACAAATTTTATCTTGATTTTGGATACAATTTCTGATTAGAATGTGACAATAGAGATTAAAATTTTCAAAAAATTAAAATATACCAAATATTTATGAAAACATTTATTTGCGATGAATAAAATTCATAGTCGTAGTCAGTTTTAAGAAGGCAGTATTAGACTTGATATTATTTTAATTTCAGTAGTAGACATCAGTTTTAGTCAGACAGGACGTTTAAATTTAATGTAATTTAAGTAGTAGAATTTAGATTTAGTCAGGCAAATCTTTTTCTAATAAAGTAGAATTTTATTGTCAGTAGTAGAAGTAAATTTTAGTCAGACACGACATTAAAATTCTGCGCAGTTTCAGTAGAAGTAGTAAAGCCAAGTTTTAGTCAGACTTTTAAATTTCACGTAATTTAGGTAGAAGTAGTAATAGTAGATTTTGGTCAGACAATATTTTTTCACAAATTCAGAAAATTAATTTGTCAATAGTAAATGCCATAGTAATAGTTGAACGTGATAGTTTAATTGAAAATAATTCACGTAAAAGTAGTATAAGTGAATTTTAGTCAGACAGAAGATTTTCGTATTATATTGGCTTTAGTAGTAGAAATTACTTTTAGTCAGACTAGATGTTAAAAATTTACGTAATTTACAAATTAAATTAGCAAACGTGAGTTTTAGTCAGACAGAAAATTTCCAAATGTATATAATTTTATTTTCAGTAGTAGAAGTTAGATTTAATTAGTAAGAACGTTGTAAATGTCATAAAAGTAAGTTTTAGTCAGACAACACTTTTCCCAAAATAGAGTATTGTTTTTCTATCAGTAGTAAAAGACAGTATTAGTCGGACAAAAAACCTTTTTGTTTCATGTAATTCAAGTAAAAGTAGTAAAAGCGAGTTTTAGTCAGACATATTTCTTCTACGAATTCAGTAAATTTTTTCTCAGTAGTAAATGTCAGTATTAGTCAGACAGGAGTTTTATATTTCGTGGAATTAAAGTATAGAAGTAATAAAAGTGAGTTATAACCTAGCATAATTTTTCCAAACTAATGTAATTGCTTTTTTAGTAGTAATTGTCAATATTAGTCAGACAGGAGTGTTCCAAATTCATGTGACTTTATTATCAGTAGTAGAAGCCAGGTACAGTCAGACAATTTTTGTTACCAATTTTAGATAATTGTTTTTTCAGTAGTAAAAATCAATATTAGTCAGACGGGAGGTTCTTATTGATTGTAATTTAAATCCAAGTAGTAAAATTCAGTTATAGTTAGACAGAAATTTTTCCATTTCACGTAATTTCTGTCTCAGTGATTAAAGTCCACTTTAGTCAGACAGAACTTCTGCTCTTTGAAATTTTCAAATAAACTCTTTTTCAGTAGTATAAGTCGATGTTAGTCAGACAGGACTATAACAGTATAATTTTATTTTCAGTAGTAAAAGTCTGATTCAGTCAGACAAAACTTTTCCAAATTCAAAGAATTAATTTCTTAGTAGTAAAAATCAAAATTAGTCAGACGGGAAGTTCTCATTGTTTGTAATTTTAATCTAAGGAGTAAAATTCAGTTATAGTCAGACATTACTTTTACTATTTCACTTTATTATTGTTTCAGTGATAAATATCGATTTTAGTCAGACTAAACTTTTGCTCTTTAGAATTTTCAAGCTCCTTTTGAGTAGTATTAGTCAATATTAGTCAGACAGGAGTATTTCAATGTTGTTTAATTTTCAGTGGTAAAATTCAGGTACAGTAAGACAAAACTTTTCGAAATTCAAATAATTGTTTTCTGAGTAGTAAAAATCAAAATTAGTCAGACGGGAGGATCTCATTTTTTGTAATTTAAATCCAAGTAGTAAAATTCAGTTATAGTCAGACATAACAATTTTCCATTTCACTTCATTACTGTTTCAGTGATTAAAATGGATTTTAGTCAGACTAAACTTTTGCTATTTCGAATTTTCAAGCTTCTTTTGAGTAGTATAAGTCAATATTAGTCAGACATGAGTATTTTAAGGTAATTTTACTTTCAGTAGTAAAATTCAGGTACAATCGGACAAAACCTTTCGAAATTCAAATAATTGCTTTCTGAGTAGTAAAAATCAATATTAGTCAGATGGGAGGTTCTCATTGTTTGTAATTTAAATCCAAGTAGTAAAATCCAGTTATAGTCAGACATAACAATTTTCCATTTCACTTCATTACTGTTTCAGTGATTAAAATCGATTTTAGTCAGACTAATCATTTGCTCTTTCGATTTTTCAAGCTCCTTTTGAGTAGTATTAGTCAATATTAGTCAGACATGAGTATTTCAAGGTAATTTTACTTTCAGTAGTAAAATTCAGGTACAATCGGACAAAACTTTTCGAAATTCAAATAATTCCTTTCTTAGTAGTAAAAATCAATATTAGTCAGACGGGAGGTTCTCATTGTTTGTAATATAAATCCAAGTAGTAAAATTCAGTTATAGTCAGTCATAACTTTTCTATTTCACTTTATTTCTGTTTTAGTGATTAAAATCGATTTTAGTCAGACTAAATTTTTGCTCTTTCGAATTTTTAAGCTCCTTTTTAGTAGTATTAGTCAATATTAGTCATACAGAACTATTTCAAGGTTGTTGAATTTTCAGTAGTTAAAGACAGGTACAGTCAGACAACATTTTTCGAAATCCAAGTAATTGCTTTCTGAGTAGTAAAATCAGTATTAGTCAGACGGGAGGTTCTCACTGTAGGTAATTTAAATCCAAGTAGTAAAATTCAGTTATAGTCAGACATAACTTTTTATGTCAAGACAATTGTCTTTTGATTGAAATTTTTTAAACAAATGTAATTTTATTTTTCAGTAGTATTAGTCAATACTAATCAGCCAGGACTATTTCAATGTAATTTTATTTTCAATAGTAAAAGTCAGGTACAGTCAGACAAAACAGTTTCAATTTTAAATAGTTGCTTATTCAATAGTAAAAATCAGTATTACCTAATAGTTGATATATCAAAAAAAAATGCATCTAAAAGAAATGATTAATTATGTAAATTATGTAAATTGAAAATGTAAATTTTGTTAATTATGTAAATTATGCAAATTACGTAGATACAACATTGAAAATTGGCAACAATGGCATTACATAAGAATATGTGCGATATAGTTGAGAATAAAAAAAAAAAAAAGATTATGATAATAATGATAAGGACACAACGAAGGTACGAAAAGCAGTTTCTAAAGCCGAAGAGCAATCAATTTTTGTTATTGATTTTTTTTTTTTATTTTTTTTTTTTTTTGACGATTGTCTCTCATTAACGGCTGTGGCATGCTACTTACTAGCTTGTACGGCAGAAGTGGATCGATGCGCGTATCGACTTTCGAAGGATGATTTGGATGGGTCGACTGCAGCTGCAGTCGCAGGTGGATGGCCTGTGGCGCCTGCAGCAGCCGTTTTGGCCTGGGCATGCTTGACACGCTCCAGCCTGGCCGCAGCGGCAGCAGTGGTGGTTGTGGTAGTAGCAGTAGGCGGGTGATAGGCGATCGAGTGAATCGAATGCTTAACCGAGGGTTTAACTGTGGCGTTCGTATTGATAGTGGTACTTGTGATGTTGGTGGTTATGGGTTTTGCGTGATGAAGAGGGCGATGGGGAGGAGCATTGGTTGCGAGGAAGGCTAGAACATATCGTACAAAAACAATAAGCGACCGTGTTACCCAAAAAAAAAAAAAAAAAAAAATTATCTCGCTCATTCGCTACTATTAAACAAACAAAAATCATTCTATTATTTTTTTTTTCGCCAATTTTTTTTTCCAATGTGTCAATTTATTAATAATAAAATAGAAAAAATTTATTTGATTTAAATAATCCTTTACTTGAATATTATCAAATAAATATTAATAATTTTTCAAATCAAGTAATTAAATTAAATAAACTTGGATCAATAATTTCTCTATTTGTAACAAATACCATTTAATTGAAAATCAAAAATATTTGATTATTTATTTGATAATAGTCAAGTAATCGAGTATTTGAATCAAATAATTTTTTTTTCAGTGCTTAAAAGGGCAGCGCTAGCTTTTATTTTATTATTAAAAAAAAAGTTGACAAACTTGTAAAAAAAATGACCTAAAATTTACATTCATTAAAATAATTAAAACCACGAATAACATAAAAAAATTATTGGAAAAATAATTTAATAATATAATTAACTCTCTATTAAATGAACTCTTTCCACGTCCTCAGTTCCTTCAAAAAAAAATTAATAATTATCATTCCTATTACCTAGTATTTTTCTTAAAAACTATTCTTTTTAAATATTTTTTTAGAAAGTAGGATTTTTTTTTTTGGAAATATTTTTCTAACTCAAATTTTTTTTCTATATAGAAATTTGTTAATTTCTATATTTTATTTATATAGATTTTCTTATGACATTTTTTTTTTTTATACAAAATTACCTGTTTTAGAAAAGTTTCTCCTTGTAGAACATTTTTTTTTTCATGTCTATATATATAAATAAAGCTCCCTAATTTTATACACAATACAGGCATCTATATTTTAAGCTTTTTTTCATGCCATGAATATATATGTATAATATGAATTATGAAATTCTGTATATTTGCATATTCCTGTGGATATTTTTCTTCCTAAACAGCATGAAATATATACTCCCTTTTTTTGGTTGGTGAATATTTTTCTATAAATTTTTCAGAGTAATTGAAGAATTGGTTTTTTATTTCACGTCCTCGATTGTTTTTGTGTATAGGAAAAATGAGAAAAAAAATGTGTTTCTTAAAAAATTTCACTGTGATGAAAAAATAATTTGATATTGCACACAATTCTGTGTAAACATAAGAGTATAATGGCAATTCGCAAAGATTTGAATTTTTTTTTTTTTTTTGAAAAGTGCCTGAAGTAAATCAGTTTGTGGTTGGGGGGGAGAAGGAGGTCCTTGAACACGGGTTTACAAAAAAAAAAAAATATTTTTATTCAAAGACCTTTTTTGGTACTTGAAGCTTGAGAAGTGTTAATTTTTTTTTTTGGAAAAAAGTGAGATTTTTGTATAAAATGGACATTGACTGGATGCGAGTTGACTTCACAAATGAAACGTACGTTTACGATGATATTTCGGGGACCTCCTGTGGATTGGAGTCGGCCTTGGGCCCGAAGATGTTGGTGGTGGTGATATTTGTGGTATTGGTTGATTTCCGCTCGTTGATAAAGCTGCAGGAGAAACTCTTATATTCCAACGAACTCGGCTACCCGTAGCTGAAACACCCACTCACCTTCTAAATATTCTACAACTCTATACTGTAATAATATTCCATTGGGGATCATTGTTTTTTTTTTTTTTTTTTTTTTTTCAAAAAAATGAGAGAAATGACGATGAAACTGTCCCTCTATATTAAATAAGAATCCATTTTTTTTCACCGAGATTGAGAAAACAATTTTCTTTTCTTTTTTTTTTTTTTGCAAATGAAGAAATAAGAAATTCTTCAAATATTTGCATCCAGAGGAAGAATTTGCAAAATTTTAATTTGTGCAAATAAAATGATGTGTAGAAATGAATAACATCACAATGAGAAGATATTGAGGACGTGTATAGATGAAATTGCTTATTAAAAATAAATTTTAGAGCGAAATATTTCACAGTAATCGAGAAATTGTCGAAAAAAAATTGTAGACAATTCAAAAACTTCAACCTAAGGTTTTAAATAAAATTAAATATTTTCAAAACCGAGGACTATTGATTACATATATATACATGTGAAATTAATCGTCATATAAGTTGACAGAACAAAAAAAAATTGAAAAAGCATCAGAATTTCTAATCTGATATATTGGTCTTATCTATCCAGAATCTACTGATATAAATATTAATTATAACAAATGCAGAAAGATATAAATATACAATAAGACAAGTCCAACATGCAACTTATTTTTTCAAAAATAAACAAAAATTACGATTTTGTTTATGATCATTCTTTTTTTTTATCAACTCAAGAGTATGATCATCTTATTTTATTTCGAAAATTCAATTTATTTTTCTCGAAAATATTTAACAAATTTTATTTTTTTTTTAGATGAATTCGTAGATGTCATACTCTTGTATAAATAACGTTGATATAGTGTTTTTTTTTGGAAAGACAATAATTATATAATAGTCTATTGGACGATTAATTGAATATTAACGGACACAGTCAAAAATTATCTAACACGATAATTCTATATGTAATTCAGTCCTTCCATCTAAATGCAAAAAAAAAAAAAATATTTTGAATAGTGGCTGTTCGATCAAAATTTAATGACCTAGTCTATAGAAGTCAATCGATGACAGCTTTTTGAAAAAAATAAAGAAATTGACCCTGTTTACTTACTCGGACGGGGATGCCTTTCTCGCTCTCCGCTCCTCTCCCTCGAATCTTTATCCTTGTCCTTTGATTCTTTTTCTTTCTCCTTGAAACAAAGAAAATTTGGCTCATTCAGAATTGGTTTTTTTTTCATATTTATGTGAGTGATTCTACCGAAATACTTGATTTTGTAATTTTTAAATTATTTTTAAAAATGTCTTTCTAGTTCTAAAAATATAAAATTGTATTTTAAAAAATTATTTCCGACTGAGAATAATTTTTACTATTGAGAAAACAATTTATTCACTGAAACAGAAATTACAAGAAATAGAAAAAGTTATGTCTGACTATAACTGAATTTTACTACTTGGATTTAAATTACAAACAATTAGAACCTCCTGTCTGACTAATATTGATTTTTACTACTCAGAAAGCAATTATTTGAATTTCGAAAAGTTTTGTCCGATTGTACCTGAATTTTACTACTGAAAGTAAAATTACCTTGAAATACTCATGTCTGACTAATATTGACTAATACTACTGAAAAGGAGCTTGAAAATTCAAAAGAGCAGAAGTTTTGTCTGACTAAAATCGATTTTAATCACTGAAACAGTAATAAAGTGAAACGGAAAAAGTTATGTCTGACTATAACTAAGTTTTACTACTTGGATTTAAATTACAAACAATGAGAACCTCCCGTCTGACTGATACTGATTTTTACTACTGAGAAAACAATTATCTGAAATTGGTAAAAAAAATTTGTCTGACTGTACCTGGCTTCTACTACTGAAAATTAAACAACCTTGAAATACTCCTGTCTGACTAATACTGACTAATACTACTCAAAAGGAGCTTGAAAATTCGAAACAGCAGAAGTTTTGTCTGACTAAAATCGATTTTAGTCACTAAAACAGGAATGAAGTGAAATAGAAAATGTTATGTCTGACTATAACTGAATTTTACTACTTAGATTTAAATTACAAACAATGAGAACCTCCCGTCTGACTAATTTTGATTTTTACTACTAAGAAATTAATTTTTTGAATTTGGAAAAGTTTTGTCTGACTGAATCAGACTTTTACTACTGAAAATAAAATTACACTGTTATAGTCCTGTCTGACTAACATCGACTTATACTACTAAAAAAGAGTTTATTTGAAAATTTCAAAGAGCAGAAGTTCTGTCTGACTAAAGTGGACTTTAATCACTGAGACAGAAATTACGTGAAATGGAAAAATTTATGTCTGATTATAACTGAATTTTACTACTTGGATTTCAATTACAATCATTAAGAACCTCCTGTCTGACTGATACTGATTTTTACTACTGAGAAAACAATTATCTGAAGTTGGTAAAAAAATTAGTCTGACTGTACCTGGCTTCTACTACTGAAAATTAAACAACCTTGAAATACTCCTGTCTGACTAATATTGACAATTACTACTAAAAAGAAAATTACTATCATTTGAAAATTATGCCATTTTTACTACTTCTATTTAAATTACAATAAATAAAACCCCTCGTCTGACTAATAATGACAATTACTACTAAAAAAGCAATTACATTAGTTTGGAAAAATTATGCTAGGTTATAACTCGCTTTTATTACTTCTATACTTAAATTCCACGAAATGAGAAACTCCTGTCTGAATAATACTGACATTTACTACTGAGAAAAAATTTACTGAATTGATAAAAGAAATCTGTCTGACTAAAACTCGCGTTTACTACTTTCACTTGAATTACACGAAACAAAAAGGTTTTTTGTCCGAATAATACTGTCTTTTACTACTGATAGAAAAAAATTACACTATTTTGAGGAAAGCTTCGTTTGACTAAAACTCACTTTTACTACTTGAAATTATGTTCCGTCAGACTAAACCTAACTTCTACTACTGAAATTAAAATTATATTACAATTTAGTCCGACTAATACTTGATTTTACTACTGAGAAAGCAATAACATTGAAAAAGTTTTGTCTGACTAAAATTTACTTTTACTACTTCCACCAAAATTAAGCAAAATTTAATATTTGGTTGAAGTAAAAATAGAAAATAAAAAATTTTTACCTTAACGTCTTTTGCTGACGAGGGAGTTCGTGATGGTTGTCGTTTAGGAGATTTTCGATCAGCAACACTTGGTCCAAGACTTTGCGAACGTCCAGTTCGAGGACTATTCTTCGGACTGGATTTCATTCTTGGTTGAATTTCATCTCGATGTTCTTTTGTATCATCGCGTCGGCGAGGTATCACAGGTTCCAATTTCTCTCTCGTTGGAGAGGGAAGTAACGCTCCATCACCTTGAAAAATTAATTTTTAATTAAATTTGTTAATTAATTTTTTGTAAATTAATTTTCATTTATATATATATATATAATATCAAATTTTTAAATTTACCGATTCCTGTAGTGCGATCAAGGTGATGACGAATCAAGAAGTCCCTTCTTGCTCGAGCAATAGCTTTATCATTGTCCTGGAAATGTAATTTTTATTTGCTTTGTGTAAAAATATTACAATGATAAATATTCATATAAAACCAGTTTTTTTTTATATATATATAGAGAGAAGAGAGGTAAAAAAAATATAGAAGTTATTCATGTAAATTTTTTTACATACAAAATCACGAGAAGAAGTTATGTTTCTTTTTTTTTAATGAACTAACCGCTTTGAGGTCATCGGAGAGAATTTCGTGAATAGGTTTTGTTTGTACAGAAGATGGCCTTCCAGCAGGTGGCATTGTCACTGTTGGAGCAACTTTTCTCGTATTTTCTTTTTCTTTCTCCTCTTTTGTTACCGACCTACTGCATTCAGTGAATAAAAATATAAAATTCAATTTAATATCTCAATTGTGGATTTATTTGTACGGAAGGAAATAATAGAAAACTATATATTAAAATAAATTGAAAATTTAATGTGTCTTGAAAAAATTTTTACAGAAAAAAAAGAAAAATTGTTTAAAATTTTTTCTCATAAATTTCTTTTCCTATTTTTTTTTTTTCGTTTTTATAATGGAGAATTTTTTTTATATTTTCAATATTTAATTTTATTATTTTTTAATATTTGCTTTTAATGACAATTATAATTTTAATATATTAATTTTTTTTTTTTTTTTAATAATATTAATAATTATTATTTGTTACTAGCCTGGCAAGTGAAAGTGCGTTAAGAGCGTGATTACTAGAGACTTTTTTCCATAATGATGCTTCGTCTTCTCTTGTTAGCCCACATCCCCAGTCTCGATGCTAAATAAATTTAATTTTTTTAATTATTATATTGATTTAAAGAGGGAAATTTTTGTACCTTTTTTTTAAAAAGTCTTCTTACTAACAAAAATATATTTTCAATTTTTAAATTTGAATCAGTCAGATTTAATTAATTATAAAAATAATTTTTAATATTCAAAACAATAAAGTTTCGTTAATTTGGAAATATTTTTTTATTGCCCTTTAGACATCGATAGCTAAATAAATTTTTTATTTCTCTCTTTTTTTTTGCAGTAATCTGTAACCATCAATTTTATTTAACAAGCCGCACAGACTTTTCTTCCTCTCGGCTGACTCAACTCATCTGCATCTACTTGTAACCTATATACATATATATATGCACCATTCGATTTGCATATCTAGCGTTTCTTTTTTGACCTCAATGATAACAATGATTGGATATATTGATTAGAAAAAAAAAGAAATTATAAAATTATTTACAACATTGAATCGCAAAAATAAATTTCCGATTCTAAATTTTTTTTTTGTTTATAATTTAAAATTGTCATTGTTAATTATTATTAGCATAGAAATTTTGTAAAGTATACCTTATATTCATCGGCGAGTTGTCGAAGTGCCATTACATTTGTTTTTGCTAAAGTTTTTTCCTGTGATTTTTTCATTTCCACATCAACATTGTCTACTATTTTAACAGTTCTACCAGGTTTTTTACCTCTGAAATTCAATAATAATAAAAATTAATAATCAAAATAGTAAATTAATAAAAAAAATAATAACAAAATTGTGAATTAATAAAAAAAATGATAATAATATAAATTGATACAAAATAATAATAAATAAATTATTAAAAAATAATAATAAATTAATATTCATAAACAATAATGATAAAAAAAAAGTTTTTTTAAATATTTTTTTATCTAAATAAAACTATTTTTAATATTATTTTAATTTCATTAAATTATAAAATTAAAGGACTATTTTATTTTTTGTATAAAAAAAAAATAATATTAATAATGACTATTTTCAAAAATTTTCTAACCTATAGGTAATTTTCAAATCCGGTATATTCTCCTCGTGTTCATCACATTCTAAAACAACTCCATCAATGGTGTCCATTGTGTTACCAGTCACAAGGGGCTCCAATTCTGAAGCTTGTGCTCCTGAAATAAAAATTATTTATTACAAATATCAAATATTTATTTTTTGTAGTATATAAATTTTTCAGATTTTCTGTAATATTTATTATTAATATTATTTTTATTATTAATATTATTTGCATTATTTGCATTATTTGTATTATTTGTATTATTTGTATTTTTATATTTTTTGCATTATTTTTATTACTTTTGTTGTTTATAAAAAAATTATTTTTTTTTCAATTAAACAAACCCTCTCGCTTATGATCGATGTCGCCGGGACGTTTCCTGTGAACAGGAACTGGTCCAGGTTGAATACCCTGTTTCAGAGCCCCCATACTGAGTGATTTTCGTGGAGGTCCAGTGCTGCCAGCAGCTGCAACAGGTAGTGCCACATCCCCATTGGTCAATTGTTGTCTTCTTGGCCAAGCAAATTGCAAACGATATTCAGTGCTGATTCTCGATATTGCCTTACTTAATTGACTAGATGGAATCGTCGACGTCGCCGTAACTTCCTGAAAATAAAATTCTTTCTAAAAAAAAATCATCCTCTAAAACAAAGGCAAATCCACTCTTTTAAGATAAATAAAAATAAAAATTTATTTTAGTAACAAAATTTACTGCATTTCAAATATTATAAAAATTAATAATAAATACTAAATAATAATAATAAATAATAAAAATAATATAAAGAAGGTAATTCATGTTTTATAAAACACTAATAGTAATTATTATTTAAATTAAAAAACAGACAAAATGCAACTAATTTAGAAAATATATTTAAACAAGAGCGTTGATAAGAATTTTTTTTTTTATGTCAAGAGCGAATTTTTCATACTAATCACAAAGTAGATGGTAATTTTTTTAAAAAACTATTTTATTTATTCTTCAGGCTAGAAGAATTTTTTTTTTTCATCCTGAAAACTACCACTTGACCTAAAATTTCATTTACCTGTGCAGTTGAGTTTCAAGTTAAGAGATGGTATTTAATTTTTTTTTTTTTATATCACAAGTCTGCCCATTTTATTTTAACTTTAGAGAGTGGATAAAATTATAAAGATTGCTATTAATAAAACATCTTCTCAATGTTTAGTGAAGAGAAAATATTTTAAACATTTAAACAATTTTCATCAATTACTATATTATAAGTATTCTTTTCTTCTTTTTTTTTTTAATCAAGCATTTCGCTCAATCAACTCTTTTACTATTTTTAAAATCCTTTCACGTTAATTAGTGGAAAAAAAAATCCTTGAAAATTATTTGATATTTAAAATTCTTTCTCCATAAAAGATTCTAAATTATCTAATTGTGAAAATTAATATATAAATTAAAATCATCCAATTATAATAAAAAAAAAATCATCCAATTATCAAATTGAAATTAATTAAAAATGTCTGATTTTTTTTTTAAATAAAAATTATATCCCATTATTTGAATGCTATTCACTATTTTTGGATGAAAATTTGTCTAATTAAGATTTATTTTTTTTTTCTAGGAAAATAACTGTGACGTCTATTCTTTTTTTTCGGGGGTTGTTTTTTTTCTTACCCTAACTTTATCAGCTACGACGTTTGAATCGACGCCATCGATTCCACCTCCGTCAGCAGCAGTAATGAATTCGTGTGTTTTGTAAGCAAGTTCCGGACATTTTTTTCTTCTTGGTAATGGCGGTTCTAGGGTAGGTCCTGGAAAATTAAAAATTATTGTCGCAATGAAAAAATTCTCATAAAAAAAAAAAAAAAAAAAAAAAACAGCAACAATAGAAACGGTTAGTAATTAGAAATTTAAATATTAAAAGTCAAATGAAAAGCAGTTTTATTAGAAGTAATAATTTCTAATTAATATAATAATTAATTTTTTTGTTAATTGGAATTTATAATTTTTATGGCTTTATTTGACTTTTAATAGCCATAACCTTAACCAGATAAAGACCTCAAGAAAATATTGAAGTGTTTTGATAAATTAATTAAAAGTAGTAGATTACAATTACTATATGTAATTAAAAAGAATCTATTTCTAATTTAGAATTGTGATTGCGTCAAATGCATGCGTGGTTTAAAAAAAAATATATATATGCAGAATAATTGCAACATTACGTAACTCAATTTTCTATATTATTATCAGAATTTTTATACTCAATTCTATTAATAAACAGTTTAATTGTGAAAATTATTTATCGACAGTGATTTTAAATCGAGTATATTAATGCTGACAATAAATCATTTCTATATTGGTATACAAGAAAAAGTTTCAAACTATTGCACTACAAAACTCAGCCTTTATCCGGTTATTGTTTTAAGTCGAGATAAACAAAACAAAATTATTAAATAAATAATTATTTTTCAAGGACTACGATTTTTTTTTTTTAAATTAAAAAATTTTTCTTTTACCAAAATTTGATATAAATTTAAGAATACGATTGTTTTGTCTGACTGCAACTGTTTTGTACTACTAGTTTAAAAAAAAATTACAATTATAATAAAAGCAAAGCCATTTAAAAGTGAATTTTTCATATTATATTTTATTTTTCACATTTCATTTACTTTTTTTAAAGCAGATCAATTTTTTATTTAATAAATATAGAAAATAAAAGCAATAAAAATAATTAAAGCCTTTTATTATTTGTTCACATACAAATACGTAGCAATATAAAAAAAAGTATGTGAAGAATTTAGAAAATTTATTAAACAAAAATTCCTGTCTTTTTCTACAGATACAATAAATTAAAATAAAACAATTCGGTCTGAGTGAAATTTATTTTTACTACTTAAACTTGAATTATATGAAAAAACGTCCTGTCTGACTTCTATCACTGAAACATAAATTATATAATTTAAAGGAAAAAAATGTCTGACTATAAACGAATTTTACTACTTTTATATTCTAAACTAAATAAAATTCAAAGCTGTCTGATACAAATTTACCTTTACTACTGAGTCAGCAAAATTCAGAAATGTGAGGTCTGACTAAAACTTATTTTTACTACTAAGAAAGTAATTATAATAATTTCTGTCTGACTGTACAATTTATTTTTATTACCTCTACTTATATTACCTGCAATGGAAAATATCGGCCTGACTGAAATTAACTTTTACTACTTTAACCAAAATTACCTGAAATAAAAATGAACTACCTGAGTAGAAAATTTACTTTAACTACTTCTACTTGAATTATATTAAGCCCTGTCTGAAAAAAATGACTCACATACTACTGAGAAAAAAAAGTGATGAGAATTTGAAAAAGTTATGTCTGACTCAAAAGTGTCTTTTACTACTTGATAGTGAAAAAACACGAAATAAAAACATTCGGTCTGACTAGAACTAATTTTTACTACTTGTGTCTAAAATTAAAGAAATCTAATCTGACTAATGTTGATTTTTACTACTGATATCTTTTACATTTTGTCTGATTAAAATGGGCTTTTACTACTTTTAGATGAATAATATGAGATTAAAACCTGAATCAGTTTTTTTCTATTGATAAAAATTATACGAATTAGAAAAATCTATGTCTGACTTAAACTGACTATTTCTACTTTAATGAATATTACCTGATATTACAATTTTATGTCTGACTAAAAGTATATTATACTACTGACAAAGTAAGTTTTGAAAATTGCGTCTGACTAAAATCGACTTTTACTACTTGTTCTCAATTTATATAAAATTTAAAATCTTCTGTCCGACTAAAACTGTGTTTTACTACTAGGAAAAAAAAAGAAATTCGAAATAGCTAGGTCTTACTAAAACTGTCTTTTACTACTTACATTAAAATTTCAATCTGCTTTGTGTCTGACCAACACTCTCTTTTACTACTTTTTTTTCTACACAACACTCAGAAAAAAGATATCGTTTGAACCAAATGTACTATTTTTTTATATTTACCCAATTTTTTTGGTTAGTTCAAACAAAATTTGTTTAATTCAAATAAATATTTATTTGATCTAAATATAACTGTTTGGTTTATTTTAATAAATTTTTTTGAACAAAGAAAAAATTTAATTGAGCGTTTGATTTATGCAACCAAATGTTTGGTTAACTGTATAACAATGCATTTATTTTGTTGATTTAACGAAAATTTGGTTGCTTCAAACGAATTATTTTTTTTGAGTGAATATGAAATTGGAATTTGTCAGACTAAAATTGGCTTTAACTACTTATTTTAAAATTTTACTTCCGTCGGATATAAATTTACTTTTACTACTTAGATCTACAATTACCTGCAAAAATAACTGTCCCTGTCTGACTGAAACTTACTTTTTCTACTGATTACCTTACACATACATTTGTATTACGATATTAAATTAATTAAAATTAAAAAAAAAAAATAAAATTTACGATTATGTAGAAATCATAAAAAAAAATTATCGGTATTTTTTCATAATCCTAACACATCCATTTTTATAGTAACCGAATTATTCTCAATTTTAAAATAATTATTATTTGAATTTGTATGTTTTAAAACTACTAAAGCATGAAATCTACAAATTATTTACGATAATATTATAAAATTATAATTAATTTAATTATAATCGATTAATTATAATTGTATATTAATGGTGCAGCTTTTCGAATATTTCATATAGCAATATATATATATGCGAAGAGTCAATAATCGCCTAATGTGGTGAGATGTTTATGTTTAATGTATTTATATAATAATGTTTATATTATGTAAATAAGATTTGGAAAATTAAAATTGGGGCGTTAGGAAAAAAATCATTTTTTTTTTGTTTGCGTAGCTCGGTCACTTATAAATCTTACCTTCGCTGTTTTCATCCTCAGTTGACTTGGCGGTTTGAAGTTTCGCGTTCGCTTGTTTTGCTGCAATCAAAATTTGCAGCTGGCTCGTGTCTCTATTTGAAATCGCATTCTAAACTAAAGCTTCGCCGTTTAAGAAAGAATCAACTTTTTATATACTTATTTTTTTCTAATTTTTCATTATTAAAAGAAATTCTTTTTTTCAATAATCAAAAAAATATTCCAATTTTTTGTAATTAAAAAAAAAATTCATTTTTATAATTAAAAAAAAATTCATTTTTATAATTAAAAAAATTCATTTTTATAATTAAAAAAATTCTTATTTTTTATAATTAAAAAAATTCCTATTTTTATAATTAAAAAAAAAAAATTCTTATAATTTTTTTTCTCGCTTCAAAATTTTCTCTTTCCCAATGCTAATTTTTTCCTAGCGGCGCACAATATCTAAATTTCCGTATAGAAGAAAGTTGATTATTTTTTGTTTTCTTAATTTAAAATTATTTTAAGTTTTCCTTTTTTTTTTTAATGAATTTTTTTTATCTGTATAGCAAAATAATTATAATCTTTATTATTTCGTTATTACTAATAAGCAATAAATTGAAAAACGAACTTTCTTCCATTTTTAAAAATAACATTTCTATTTATATAAATTCTATTTATATAAATAATCGAAAGCTTTCTTAAAACTCTTGTTTCACTCTGCGACTTAATTTTTTCTAAAGGCTAAGTTTGTAGAAATTAAAAATTAGTAAAGAAAAATAATTATGGAACAAGGAATAAAACTAATAGAGCTAAATTCATATAGAATTTATATGAATTTTATTTTAAAAACTTCTTTTTCTTCCTAATATCCACATTGAAAATATTTTACAGCATTCTTAAGAAAAGGAATTCTATATTAGATAATTTTAGCTTGGAATTTGAGAAAAAAAAATCTATGTTTCGGTTTATTTAAACTATAATACTATATGAAATATAATATATAATGTATATATTGTATACACTCTAGCGTAAAATGTGTCTTAATTTAAAAAAAAAAATACATTGAGAACAACATCGAAATTTGAATAAATTTTAACAATTACAAAAAAATGTGAAAATTCAGTGTAGGATGAGTGCTAGACGTGTGTCGACTATTATATATTATTATTTTTATTATATTGAAAAGAACAAGAAAACACAAAACTAAGCACAGTGAAATCCGAGTATAAAGATTTTTTTTTTTTTAGAATAATCGTGAGTCGAAATTTTTACATATTTAATAGAAAATGTCCTGGGAATTATAAATAGAATTTAAAAGATATTTCTTTATTTATATTAATAAGTTGAAAATTTTAGTTGAAAGTTTAACAATGTTGAGATATAATTGTCAAATCTCAATATGTTAGGTGTGAAAATGTAAATTACATTTATAAAGTTAGATGAGAAATTAAAAAAAATTACAAAACTAATTTACAATTTAATTTAAAATTAAAAATAATTTTCATTCAATTAATTGATTAATTTTAATAATTAAATTAATTTTTAAATAAAATTAATAATCATATTTAATAAATATTAATTTTATTATATTTTTGCAAAAAAAGTTTTTTGATGTTTTTGCAAATTTAATTGTTTAGACCTCGACTCATGACAATATATATATATTAAATGCAGATATTCACTGAAAATAGTGATTACAATATTTATATATATTTTTGGAAAAATAATTTTTAATTACTATTCAAAATAAATAGTTTTTGTTATTTAAAATTCGTATTAATAAAATACAAATTAAATATATGATATTAATAAAATTTTTGTTCCAAGTAATTTAAATTTGATATTAATTTTTCTAGAAAATTTTCTTTCGAGAAACAGTATTAAAATTTAATTATTTAAATTTTCTAAATAGAAAATTAGAAGAATTTTCTTCATTTTAAAAGGAATACTAAATTGACTATATATGAAAAAGGGAAAAATAAATTAGAAATGAAAAGTATTATTAGGAAAATAAAAATTTTTTTTTCTTTCTTAAATTTGAATATATGCATTTATTATTCATTGAAAATTCTAAGAGATGCTACCGTGTTTTTGTGATACCTCTTTTTGAACTTACTCGAAGGCGCTTGTGGTGGTCGCCGCACGACGGCTTCCTGGTGCGGTCCTTTGTATTCGTGCCATGTGTAAGTGCTCCTATATTCCGAATGGAGCTGCTGAAACATAGGCAAAAAGTCATTAATTTTTACACTGAAAAAAATTAATTTACTTAAAAAAATTAAAATAATAATAATTACTAAACTATTATCAAATAAATATTTATTTCCATTAAATTTTTATTTGAACCAAATAGAAATTTATATATTTAATTTGTATTTAGACAAATAATTTCTCTATTTGAAATAAATAAAATTTAATTGACTTAAATAAAAATTATTTGGTTCAAGGAAATATATTTTTTTTTTATTAAATAATCAATTATTATCATTACGTAAATATTAAGAAAATTATTATTTGAGTGTAAATAATATTTTTTAAAATATTTAATTGCTGATGAAATTAATAATTGATTAAGTGCTAATTATAAACTAAATCAAATACGATTGCGAACATCAGTTAAAAGTGGATATTATTATTAATTAATGCAGCTATTAATAGTTTCTGTTTTAATTGACTTTGTCAATTTAGACTAAAATAAAATAATATAATACCATAGACTATATAAAAATATATATTTTTTTTAATAAGGTAACTTATTTAAAATCGAAATTGCAGTATTAAAAAAAAGAGAGAAAATAAATTCAATTCCCTGGCAATTCGAGGTAGAAATATTTTTCAACTATATAAATTTTCAACTGTCGATATAAGTAAAATTTATAAGCAACATTTTTCTGTCAATTGAAAATAGTCAATAAATATTAAAATTTAATAAAAAAAAATTTTTGCATCTATATAAATTAAATTATAAAATCCAATGAAAACTAAAATAGCAGATCTGGCATGTTGATGTGTGGATTCTCTACAACTATTAAAGACTTAACTTTCAGGCCACGATTCCAAGACTTCGGTTTATTAAGGCGAAGACTTACAACTTTTGCTTATTACATATACATATATATATATATGAATGCAGATATTTTTTTTTTTAAATTTTATTATCGCAATTGAAAATATTATTCCTCTTAATAAAAAATTTAAAATTATAATTACATTCTAAAAAATAGAGAGGAATTTTTGAAAAATATTTTGAAGAAAATTTCTTTTATTTTTTAAAAACTTGATAAACCTTTTTTTCAAAAAGTTTTCATATTTTTTTTTTTTGAAACTTCTTTCTGAGTGGTACTCTGGGATTTAAAAAGGGGGAAAGGAGCATTAAATTTTTTATGTCCTTTCATTGAATGGAGAACTTTAACCATTAGAGGCGTTTTATACAACTTGATGTAAATTTTTACTACTATTTTTTGTTTTTTTTTTTTTTTAAGTTTTTCTATTTTAGAAAAATAATATAATAGAATTTTTTATTATTTTTCCATGGAATTTTGAGAGAATTATTTTATTTTAAATTTTGAAACAGGAAATAATTAAAAAAAAAAATGTAATTTAACAATTCTTTACTGCTTTTGGTATAGAAGGTATATAATGAAATAAAAATTGTCAGTATTATAAGGAGGAAAAATTTTTTTTGTCCCCCAAAAAAAATGGGGGGTTTTTTTTTAAAGAACTGTCCTTGAAAGTGATTCTAGGTACTTGCAGCTATCTGCCAGTGTAATATTCGTCTATCGATCGCTGTCAGGAAAGCGTCAAGACTCTTATCTGATCTATCATATATATATATATATAGTAGAGGTTTTATGCTTTTAGCACGGTTCTATATTCAATAAAAGCATGAACGTGATTCCCAGATAATTTTTCGTCATTCGATTTATTTTACATGCAAACTGGCATGCCATGAATGAACATCATGTATATATATATGTTTATATAAAGAGGGGCAATGCGTCGGTGAAAAAAAAAACTTCTTTTTATTTCCAAAGAATTATATTTCACCACTTTCGCCAATGGAACAAATTTTATTTATCTCATATAGCTAAATATATATCTGTTTTACATAAATTTAATTTAGTTCAAAAAAAAGAGAGAAATTTATTCATCTTAGAGCTAAATATATATTTATTTGTTTCACATTTGAATTTGGTTCAAAAAAGAAAGAGAAATTTATTTATCTCACAGCTAAATATATATATTTATTTGTTTCATATAAATTTAATGTGGTTAAAAAAAAAGAAAATTTATTCACGTCATAAGTAAATTTTATTTGTGCCAAAGAAATGTTTTTTATTTAAAATAAATAAATTAGTTCTTTAATTCCCGAGATAAATATTATGTTTAATTAAAAAAATAAAAATATATATATATTTTGATGGAATAAAAAATTATTACTAAAAATATTACTAAAAATTATTACTAAAAATATAACTAAAAATTATTACTAAAAATATAAATAAAAATTATTACTAAAAATATAACTAAAAATTATTACTAAAAATATAACTAAAAATTATTACTAAAAATATAAATAAAAATTATTACTAAAAATATAAATAAAAATTATTACTAAAAATATAACTAAAAATTATTACTAAAAATATAACTAAAAATTAGTTAGCTAATAATATTATTTTGAATTGTCATATTGTTTGAAATTTTTGCATAAAATGCAAAGTTGTGTAATTTCCAGGTAATAAAAAAAAGGAAACACGAAACAGTATGGCGCAATGCTGAGTTTCTATATATATATATATATATAAACTATTCGGGGTGTCGTTCACTTTCAGGACAAAAGTCCTACATCAACTGTTGGGGGTGTATGGAGGGTAAATGTAAACGGGTGAGGGTTGTTACTTGTATACTGCATAGTTCTGGCAAAGGGGAACCAGCCAATTTTGTTTGCTACGTATAAATTACGATCTGCAATTCTATACTTCACCGTAGTACTGATGGATATATTTTATTGTCTTGTTGAAAGATCAGCTGTAGTACATGATTTTCAATTCTTTTTTGTACACAACCCCCTATTTTTTTTTCTTTTTTTTTGCTCTCCTTTTTTCTCAATATATAAAACAAATATTTCGAAAAACAGAAATATTAAAAATATTCTCAAAAAAAAAAAAAAAATAATTAGTTTTTTTATAAGTTTAGTTTTAGTTTGACTAAAAAAGATTATTCTTGTTTAAAAAAAATGGAATTTAAAAATAATTAGATGAATGGGAATTTAAAATTTTTTTTTTTTTTTAGAAAAAGAGGTCCTAAAAAAATTATTTCACCGCATTAATAAATATTCCAAATGTCTTTTTAATGAAATTAAATAGTTAACTTCAAGTCAAACTTTCGTATTTAATTAAAGTTTATTTTAATAAAAACAAAACTAACTTTTAACCATTTTTTTTAACATAGTTTTCCACTTGTAATAAATTTTGTTTTTTTCAGTCAGAGGAAAAAAAACTGGTGTAAAATTATTAGGAAAGTTGTCGGTAAATTTTTTTATTGACTTTCTTTTGTAATATAAATCATATTTATAATACCAGTATTAATGAAAAAAAAAAAATTTTTTTCTACTTTAATTCAAAATAAGTGGAGACCTTAAAAAAAAATTTTTTTTTATTAGTTCCAATTAATACTTATTACTGCGCGATGATAAAAAGTTGCATAAGGTTAGTTACTGGGTCAGTGTCGGACATTGACACGAAACGTTACGTTACTATCACATATAAATATATATATATATATAGAATATATAAAAAAGAACTTATTGCTTCCGAGCACCATATACGTTTAAAAATAGAAGAATTTATTCCCCTATTATATTTTCGACGAAATGATAATTTATTATTCAAGACAGGTAATTAATAATTTTTCAAATTTTTACTTTTTTCTATTTTTACTTTTTTATATTCTTTTTCTTTTTGATTACTTTTTCTCTATTACAATTTTTATTATTATTTTTTATTACCATTACTTTTATTATTACCTACTTTTTTTTTTATTTAATAAAAACGGAACAGTCAATAATATTTTCGCGCCTTGCAATAAATTTATAAAAATAATAAATATAATGAGAAATGGATTTATAATGGCTTATTAAATAAGCCCCGATAATTATGTAGCAATATTGATTTAATGTATTTTATAACTGCCCTCACTTGAAACTAATGTACTCAAAACCCAAGTTCCAGATAGATATGGGCAATAATAGCCATACTTGAGTAATAATAATATTTATTTATATTTTCTTTTGTATATTTATAATTTTATTATAAATAAATTATAAAAAAGTGAATTTTAATCGTTTTATCAAAATATTTTTCGAAAATTGTACCCGTTTAATTGTATATACTTTTTTTTGGGGGGTGTGAGGGGGATTTTTCCACTGTTATTAATTTTTTCAACAATTATAAGAGAAAAAAAGAAAAATTAAAATAGGAGAATAGTAAATATTAATTTTTTAATATAGTAAACAGGTTTTTATCGCGAATAATAGAATATAAAAAAGTAAAAGGAAGGAAGGAAAAATTTACTAATTTGATTCCAAAAAAAATTTTTTTTTTTTTTTTACTATTAGTTAAATTTTACCGATTAAATAATTTTCTTCTACTACTAATTAGTACTTTACTAATTGAATAGGAAAAAATTGAATAATAAATTAATTAAAATTTTTACTAATTCAGATTTTGAGTACAGATGGAGTAATTGAATGAATATTTTTTGGATAAAGAAAAAAACATTTTTTTTTTTTTTGAAAAAGGTCCTTATTTTTTTTTTCTCACCTTATCTATTGGCATTGAAGGGCACGCACGGCACAGATTCCAAAACGATCCAATCATGAGGCCGTGTTGTATGGGGGGCAGTGGAACAATGAGTTTAATACAACCAGTCACTTAAGGACCGTCTTCGTTGATGCTGACGAGTGATTGGCCGTCAGACTTGGCCTTCACCTCCCAGAAGATGATTTTTTTCCTTTTTTTTTTTTTTTGTTCCTCTTCACGGGGGGATGGTATTCCGGCACCTTCAAAGACCTCCCCTATCCTCGCTAAAGCGACCTTTCTCTTCTTCTTTTTTTTACGTACTTTTCCGTATCATACTTTATCACCATATGAAAATGAATTTTCTAATTAGAATTTTTATTTTCACTCACATTAAAATAAATACATATTTCACAATAATTTATATCATATATATATATATATATTAGGAATAGAAAAAAAAGATGGATGACGAAATGTCGCGACTAGCGAAGTGAGAGTGAAATAGTAAAAAAAGGAGAAGGGGTAGAAAATGGATAGAGAGAGAATAGAAAACGAGTAATTAAGAAGAGAAAGATAAAAAAAGGAAAAGATAGAAAAAATAGAAAAAGGGAAAAAAAGAAAAATATAGAAATAGAAGAAAAAAGAAAAAGAGGAATTGAAGAAGGAAAGAAGATAAAGAGACGATAAGGAAGGAAAAGGCGGTGTCTTAAGGGCCTGTCTAAGGCCTACCACTCCATTTCCTGGTGGAAAACCGACCTTGGATGATCGATTTTATGAAAATTTTTTCCAAACCGATCACTTATATGACGCGTGTACAATTTTTATGACTCACTTGTGATTGGCCGTTTTTCACTGGCGTTTTTTTTTGTTTTTTTTTTTTTTTTTGAGAGAGAGAGAGAGTGGGGGTAAATTTTGGGAAAAACAGTAAGGCTTTTTATTTCGTTATTTTAAGAAGAAAAAATGGTTTATAAAAGGAAAAATGATACTGTTGGCAACGTGGGAGGCACTGTCCCGTGGTTGATGGTCGACGTCGTCGCGACGCGTCGCCGGTAAGACGGTTTTAAGAGGGTGGTTTAGAGGGTTTTGTATTGAGGCGCATGCGTTGAAAATACGGTCGATAGTCCGCAACATACTCAACGATGCCTCTATGTCTACCCTCAAATTGTTCTTTCTCAATTCAACACACGGAGTTTAAATACAATTCCATCCTGCTCTTTTATACTATCGAATACTATATGTATATATATATATATATATATATATATATGCTTCGATCCTTGTCCGTTTTTTTCATTTTCTCTCTTATTTTTTTTATATTCATTTTTTTTTTTATTAACTCATTAAGAAATTCTTGTTTGTTTACAATAATTTTTCATCCCTTAATTTTACACTCGAGGGACGATCAGAAAAAAAAAGTTTATAAAGGGCATTAGTAATTAGAATAAAAAAAAAAAAATCGATTATTTTTGGATTAATAAAAAAAAAAAAAAAAATTCAGGCCCACTTAATTTGTGTATTAGAAATAATTTTTTCTCGTGTAAAATATAAATAAATTATTAAATAAAATAGAAAAATTTATGATAAATTCCAGTTGGTAAAGTAGGGATCTTTATAGTATGTTAAATCCTAAATTTGCCGGTTTTTTTTTTTTGGCTGATTAAAAAATACTTTTACTACTTGCGAATGCAATGACTGAAAAAAAAACTGGAAATTAGCCTAAAAAAGGTTTCATTGGAAAAAAGCCGGTAATTTTCATAAAAATACTAAAATATTTTTTCAATTTATTTATTTACATTTTTTATTATTATTATATATTAAAAATTTTTCAAATACTTGGAATTATTTTAAATTTGAAGAGATTTTGTAATTTCATCACCTTTATAGCTGCAGACTAAGGTTAGAGAAATATTTTTTAATGTAATAACAATATTTATCTACAAATATTGTATTTATAGTTAGAAATTTTTGAAAAATTTTACGATGTCTGACTGTAATTTACTTTTACTACTGATAAAAAAAAAAGATTACAAGAATTTTGATTTGTCTGCAACTAAATTTTTGGTACTGTGATTCAGAAATTCCACAAATTTAAAGCCGTCTGACTAAAAAAAGGGTAGAATAATGTCTGACTGTAATTAACTTTTGCTACTGATTTTGAAATTTCAATTTGTTTTGTCTGACTAAAAAAGGGTCATTTTTGGTATTGATTTTGAAATTTTACAAAAAGTGTTTTGTCTGACTAAAAATTATTTTACTACTCATTGTGTGTCAAAAATTGGCTGACTAAAACTTATATTTACTACTTATGTTGAAGTTACATAAATTGTAGCCCTAGTCTGAAATTGATTTTTACTACTTGAAAAAATATACAAAAATTAGGGAAAGTTTTGTCTGACGAAAATTGACTTTTACTACTACTATTAGCCTGACAAATTTTTTTTTTAAATCATGTCTGATTAAACGATTTCTTTTACTACTGATTAAATTTAGAATTCAATTATTTTGAATTCAATTTCTTTTACTACTGATTAAATTTAGAATTCAATTGTTTTGAATTCAATTTTATATTCAAATTGAATCGTCTGACGAAAATTGACTGTTACTACTTAGGAAACTTAAAAAAAACATCGGAAAAATCTGCCTTAATGAAACTTTTTTTTACTACCATGATAAAAAAATTATTAAAATTTGTTATAAATCTGATCGCTATATTTTTACTCTGAATACAAAAATTTCATGACTGAAATATTTCTTTTTATTTTAGTAGCCTAAAAAAAATATAGTTAAATATATATTAAATATATATATATATATATATATATATATATATATATATATATATATATATATATATATATATATATATATAGTTTCTATTAAATATTTTTCACCTACTTTTACATGCACCTTCAGTCATTTTGCATATTCTCAAAAAAAAAAAAAAAAATAAACCAACTGACCTATAAATGATAGAAAATTTTTACACATGAATATTTTATGTTTTTATAATATTGATGTAAAAGTAAAAAACACTTGGAAAGATTATACTTTTTTTATGTATGAATGATAAATATTTTATTTCTTTTTTTTTATGAACACATTTTAAAATGATAGTTTTTATATTTCCCCTCTTTTATATACATAGTCAGCCTTTTTTGTTCTTTTTCAAATTTTTGAACTAATTTTTTCTTTCTTTCTCTTTATTTTTTACTATCATTGAATTCTTTTTCAATTTCTTTGTGGCTCTTCTTATATTCTTCTTTCATTATTTCACAAATTTTCGATACCTCAGAAACCTTTGAGGTTTTTTTTTTTTTTTTTTTTTTTTGGTCTATATAGATCCTTTATTCTTTCTGAATAAAACCAATCCAATTAAATTCAAATATTAGAATTTAAAAAAATAGATCAGAAAAAAATTTAGTATGAAAATTGTTTTTTTTTCATTGTAAGAAAAGAAATGATAAAAGTAAAAAAAAAAAAAAATTAGAATCTAAAAATTGAATTCTATGAAAAATTTTCCTTTTTATTTATAATGCATTTAGCTTGAAAATATACATGATTTTTGTTTGTCAAAATTTCAAAGTTGTTTTAGGAGGGGGTGGAGAGAGGGGAAATTTTGCATGCAGTTCACTGAATCTGACACTAACTTTTGTTATGCATATTAATGAGACACATTGCATAGAGACTAGACTCTGACACTGATGTCATTAACAAAACTTTTTTTTATAGGATATAAATATGATAAAAGTCTTTAATAAAAAAAAAAAATTCTCGCATTTTCACAATTTCATGAACCTATTTTTAAGGCAAACTAAACCGAAATATTTATTCATATTTTCGATGTACATATATATATATATATATATATATATATATATATATATATATATATATATATATGACATTTGATTTATCAGAAAAGCTGAGAAAAACTTTTTTACGTGCGACAAGCAATATTAGATTTATGTTAAATAACTTTGCGATATATAAATGAGAATATGAAATATGACATATATGAAAATTTATGCATTTTTTAATCTAGTTTTGGATTTTTTTGAATTTAGCACGTCATGAATTATTGATTTAATTTTATACATATATGACGCATGAAATAACATTATATTTGATTTTTATCAACAAATGATTTATTTACTTTTTCTCTTTTATATAAGTCCTATTTTTATTGCTCTTTATTTCTTTGTTTCTTGCATCTTTTCCACTTTAGAAACATTTAAGGCGCCACATTGTCGAGCCAGACCGTGACACTGGTGCCCTTTTAAGTAGCACAGAACTTTATAATAAGCAGGGAATATTAATTTATTATCCCAATAACGATACTTTAAAAAAAAATACTACTTTTTTTGTTAAATTTGTTAAATCTTTTTTATTTAAATTTAAATTTGTTTTCTAAAACAACTAATGAAAAAAACGATTCTTTTTACAATGTTTAGAAAATAGTTAATTCAATAAAATAATAAAGGTTTTAGTTTTTTTTTTTTTTTAAATTTTAATTCAAGGTCAAAATAATATAAGCTAGGAACTAAAAAAATAATTTTTTTCATATACATATAAAGTTAATTTTATAAAAGTATTGGCTTGCATAAACTGATAAGATAAAATTGAGCGTTCATTTTAAAAACTGGATATTAATTGTAATGAAAACCTGTTATAAAAATAAATTCAAATAATTATTGATAAAAAAAAAACATGTTTAGGCTTTATATATCATATACTGTAATATGCAAAATTATTCAAAAAAAGTTAATTCTAAAACATACATCAAAAATGTTTCTTTCGCTAAAAAGTTTAATATTCATTGTCTCTTCATTTTTTATTGTCTGCCAAATTCAGGTAATAGAAAAAAAAAAATCTTTTCCATATTATTTTTAATTTATTTTTATAATAAATATTATTTTATTTATCTGTACTTTTTTTTCCCCCATAAGGCTGACAAGACATATGAATTGCAATTACATAAATATTTAGTAGGAAATATAGATACTAAATATGGTATACTTAAACAAGATTTGAAAAAAGGAACAGATAAATATTCATTTAATAATCCTATCAATAGCACTAGTAAAGATGGAGTAAGTAGAGAATTTAAAAAAAAGAAATAATAATTTCAAATTATCAAAAAATAAGAATTATAAATTTATAATTTTTTTAGTTAAATATGGATATTGCTTTCAAAAAAGGCTATAAATATTCCGGAGTTTATTTTTGTAGAAAAGAAAAAATGGACTTTTTTAAAGAACTTCAAAGAAAAATATTATTCAATGGTTTCACAGGTGCCAAATGTCCTTTGCCAGCGGTAAAAAAAAAAAAAATATATTTTTCATTTACAATTAAAAAAAAATTTTTATTATATTACAAAATAATTAAAATTAAATAATATAATTATATTTTCTAGAATAAGGATATGCTGATAAAAGATAAATTTTCATTTAAAATAAAATCCAAGGATGATATTTCTGGTAACATATTGATTACTATTTATTTTGAATTTTGGGAAGCATATGAAAGAACAATGCGTTATGATTTAATAGGAACAGCGAAAGCAATATAAAATTAATTTTCATTTTTAAGTTTCTTTTAAAGGGAAATTTTTGAATTTTTTTGTCGAGAATTTCGATAAAAAAAAAAATATATTGATTGCACAATTATCGATTTGTTTTTCTTTAATCCTCGAGAAGTTTAAAAAAAAAAAAAATTCAAATTGTAATTTTTTAAATTTGTTAATAAATTATTCAAGTTATATAACTATAATGCATAATAACAATTTTATATAATAAATTAATATGATTGTAATTGAAAATAAAATTAAGTAGGGAAAAAAATTTAATTTTTTTTTCTAATAAAATATTTTTGTTTACAGTTAAGTTTAAATTAATTTAAAATTTGAAAAATATGTTTTTTATCATAAAAATAATCTAAAAAATAGAAATAGTGCTGCCGTTATGGGAACGAGAATTATCAAAGCAAAATTTATTGATTTCCTTCTGGTTGATATTGTCAGAATCTTCACTCGTAGGGTAAAATAAAGGTAACATATTTTCCTGCAGAAAATTCTGTGGATAAAAAATTTCGATAGAAAAAATACTTTTGTATTACCGACTCATAAGTTATGCCATAAAGTTTCTATAAACTGGACAAAGATGGAAGGATGCAATAAATAAAGAATAGAAAAAAAATTTTTTAAATTACAAAAATGTATACATTAAATTTTCATTAAAATTTTGCCATCAACTTTTGGAAAATTGTTTCAATATTTTATTAAACGACAAAAAAAAATTAATTTATTGAAATAAAAATTAGTTTTTAAATTTGTAAAAATTTAATGAATTTTTCTAGAAATTTTTTATTCATCCAAATTTTAATATCAAAAAATGCTAATATTTGAATAGGGAAAAAATTATTTTTCTATTTTTTATAATAAAAAAGCACTTTAATTATTTCTGAATATCTAAAATGACTTTTAAATTCAATATTGTATAAAAATTTAATTTTCCTTTATGTGTTTGTATGACTGGAATGTTTTTTTTTTAAATATTGAATAATAATTCAAATTTAAATTTAGACAATCAAATGTTATATTTTATATTCTATTTCAGTTTTTATAAAACTGAATTATTTATTATTGCAATATACGTTGTACTTTCAGTTTTTTACAATTTAATTATATTTTTATTTTACACATAGAATTGAATAATATATATAAAATAGTTCATCGTGAAATATTTCAAAATCAATAAATTGAGAGAAATTTTCTATTAAAACTTAATGGTAAATATTTTCGAAAATATAACTATTTATTTGAAAAATATATATATAGTAGCAAATGTCAATAATGGAAAATAATAAATTGATTAATTTGTTTGCACTTTATACATAATGAATATTTCGATACTGAATTTATATGTATATAAATTAAAAAATTTTGCTGTATAAATAGTTTTTTTTTTGTTTTTTTTTTGGTTTAAACGAGAACTTGCGTGTAAAGATGATAAAATGTAGGCGCCACTTCAATTATCCTTTGGGCTTAAAATTACATTTTGTATTATAAAGCACCTTTTACAAAAGTCATATCTCGCTTTTTTTTCTTTCTCTTTTGCCAGCTTTAATTAAAAGCGTTAAACAGTTGAAAACTTTATTGTCTGGGCAAAGTTAATAATAAAACGTTATATCCTCTCCTCTTCTTTTTTTTTTGAGAGAGAGGGAGATGTTGCATTTTAAAAACTTTTTTTTTAAACTTTTAATTTAATACTGAATGGTATAATTAAAAGGCAGATTTTGATTTTTAACAAGAAATATTAAGCTTGAGAAATCAGTGTTTCAAGTGAAGTGATGTTACCTTATGTTAATATGGACCTTGGAGGTTTATGAGAATTTGCATTTTAGAGCTTGAACTCGAATATTTAATCCATCCCGTCCAAAAGTCAAAAGGTTTATAATGTACCAACACAAAGTTATATGACGAGGATCGCGATATTATAAATATATATATACATTTTCATCTTTTGCTTTAATGACAGATTTCAAGATTGTTGTTTAAAAGAACATATATATTTGTTTTTAATATTCAATTTTAATATTACATATTTTTGTTTAAGAATTCACTTTTTATTATCAGACGGAATTTTTTATTATATAGTACATTATATTCAAGGAATAATAATACATATCGAAAAAATATATCTTTTGTTTGTGATTTACCAAAATTTATTTTTTGGTTTTAAAATATCTTTTGGAATTAATTATTAAAAGAATTTTTAAGGAAATAGAAATATTAAAAAAGAAAAATTGTGGAATTAAAAAAGAAAACTTTTTCTTTTTATGTGAGAAAGTGAAAAAAAAATGTTCGATTAATAATCAAGTTGAATGCATAATAAAGTTGAGTGTTTAATTTAATTTTAGAGCCTTTCACGCATAATACATTCAAAGTTTGCAAGTCCCTCTCCCCATGGCTTTTCGTGCATCTTCTCATTTTCAGGTTGTAAATTCTATCCAGTGGGAATGTCTAAGCAGACTCCTCTAAGACTAAGTCATAGATCAAGAGGCGTACTGTGTATGTTCACGACGCGCAAGCGACTCTCGGTGAAGTCTTGCGAAAAGAGACAAATTCCTCGAAGATATAAGCTCCCAACATATATATATATATATATATAGTTCCTCTAGCCCCCCTACCCTCATTCCTTTTAAAACCCAACTCAACCTAAAGGTAAACCATCTTTCCATTTCCCAAAATTCATGCTTTTACGCTTGCACCATATATGTGTAGGAAAAGGGGCATTATTATACGTTCAGAGAGAGAGAGAGAGAGAGAGAGCCGTTTCTGCCACCTTACACCCAATGTACTATATTAAACAGAGGTTTTTATACCCTGGAAAATTACGTGCTAGCCATGTGGGAAGCTTCTCTTATTCACACATTAATATTCATTCTCCTGACTGTGCGATAAGGACTGGAAAAGTGAGGAGAATTCTTAACTTTTTTTTCCCCCCCAAAAAACTGACACATTATTTAATCATTTTCTATGACTGAAACTAAATTTTACTATCAATAGGAAATAATAAATTGAAAAATAAAATTCCTGCCTGACTAAAACTGACTTGCACTACTTGAAACCAAATTAGTGGAATTTGAAGAATTATGTCTGACTAAAATGTGACTTGACTACTGAAAGCGTAATTACAAGAAATTTGAATGTTTTGGCCTGACTGAAGTGATTTGTGCTACTGAAACAGAATGTAACTTAAATAAAAAAAAATTCTGCCTGACTAAAACCGACTTACACTACTTGAAACAAAATTAGTGGATTTGAAAAAATTATGTCTGACTAATAGGTAAATAGACTACTGAAACGGTAATTACAAAAAATTTGAACGTTATCTCTAACTTAAACTAATTTTTGCTACTGAAACAAAAAGTAATTTAAATAAAAAAATTCCGCCTGACTAAAACCGATTTACACTACTACCAAAATTAATTGAATTAAACAAATTATGTCTTACTAAAATATGACTAGACTACTGAAAATAGCAAATACAAGAAAGTGGAACGTTGTGTCTGACTATAACTAATTTGTACTACTGAAAAATATAAGTAACAAATACAAAAATTCTGTCCGACTAAAATTGACATACACTACTGCTATCTTAAATTAAGTAACAAAAAACACACAGACTGACTAAAATTGATTTATACTACTGAAATATAAATTATCTTAATGAAAATAATTTTGCCCGACTTTTGTCTTAAATTAGTGAAACAGAAATTATCTAAAAAAATTATGTCTGACGAAAAACTGTGTTTTACTACTGAAAGATGAATTGGCAGAAATGACGTGTCTGACTAAAACTGATTTATACTACTGAGACGAAAATTACACTAATTGAAAAAAATTCTATCTAACTAAAATGTGACTTTAACTACTGAAACGTCAATTAGCAGAAATTAGAACATTCTGTCTGACTGAAATGGATCCTTACTACTTTTTATTAAATTACATAATTTTGTCTGATAAAAAATTGATTTCGACCACTGAAACAAAATTAATATGTACATAGAAAAAGTTCTGTCTTACTAAATACTGCTAATGAAAAAATAAAAAATATTTTTGTCTGACTAATATTGACATATACTACTTGATTAGTGAGAAACATAATTTGAAAAATCTTTGACTAAAACTATACAAATTAATTTTTTTCACTTTGTTAATTTCTTTTAAAAATAAATACAAATTTTTTTTATAGAAGGAAAATGCTTTAAAAATAAAAAAAAAAAAATAAATGAAAATAAATGCTTTTTTTCATTATATCAAATGTATTAAATTTTTTTTGAAATATTTTTTTTATGAATTATAAAGTATTGAATTTTTGTCTTGGAGAATATTTTTTTTTTGCAGCAGCAGCAGAAAATGTAGAATTAATGGAATTTTCTTTTTTACATTTTCTTAAGAGCTGTGACAGCTGATACTTTAAGTAATTCCTTATATAATATACATAATATATATTATCATCGAACGATGCATTTTCATCATTATATTAGACAATTCTCCTTATAATATTTATATATATATATACACTATCATATATTATCTTTTTGGTGTAAACGCGGTTATTTCAGGAAGTGAACATATATAATCGTAAAAGATTCATCGCTTTAGTGCAAAGGAAATTTGCTTCCCTCCTTGATGGCATTATTTAATGGCTATTCAATAAAGCATTTTATGTTATATAGATACATACCAGACACACACAAATATATATATATATATATATATATATATATATATATATATATATAAAAGATACCAACGTAAATTCCACTTAATTTTCTCGAAGCGCAGCCCTATATTTACATATATAAATATTAAAGAAAGGCGAGAATTTAGAATGCAGAAAATAAAAATTATACTTTTCTGTTAAAAAAAAAACTATTTAAAAACGGAGAAATTGAAGAATAAAAAAAACGATAAGGCATGTAAATAATTTATTATTTGGATTTTTGTTTTTGAATTTCGTAAATGTATAACTGTTTCTATGTTCAATTTTTCAATGTTTTTTTTTTATATTTTCTGACTAAAACTGAATTTTACTGTACTTAATTTTACTATCTTTACATAAATGAAATGGAAAAAAGTTCTGCCTGACTAAAACTGGTT